GCCGACCTTGTGGTTCACATTCCAGTGATGACCCTACAGTGCCACACCAGGAGTCCAAATATGCATGTCCAAGTTGGACAGTGAATAATAGAAGACTTGATGCATTTGAGTTATGGTGTTGAAGGAGAGTATTAAAAGTACCAAGGACTGCCACAAAACAAACCAATCTATGTTGGAAGAAGTACAGCAGAATGCTCCTTAGAATCCAGGATTGCCAGACTTCATCTCTCATACTTCAGACATATTATCAGGAGGAACCAATCCCTGGAGAAGGATTCCATGTTTGGTAAAGTGGAGGGTCGGAGAAAAAGTAGAAAACCCCCAACAAGATAGACTAGCACAGTGGCAGAGGCAGTGTGCTCAAACAGCAATGATTGTGAGGTTGGTGCAGAACTGGGCAGTGTTTTGTTCTGTTGTGCATAGGTTGCTTTGAGTTGGTACCAACTGGATGCCACCTAACAGCAACAGCAAGCTTTACTTTGAATGCTTCTGTGTCTGGATTGTGTTCTTGGTGCTGTCTTGAATGGTAATCTCAGATTGTTGTCAGCTGTTACTAGTTCTCAGTCCAAAGAACACCCTGTAGCATTTTTGTAAAGTCTGTCTGGTCATGATAAAATCCTTTAATTTCTGTTTATTAGGAAATGTCATAATTTCGCCATTGGATTTGAGGTTAAGCTTTGCTGGTTTATGATTCTTGCTTGGCAATTCTTTTCTTTCAGAGTTTGCATATGTTTTGCCTTCTTGGCTACATAGTCTCTGTTGATAAATCTGAGCTTAATATTTTTGGTCTCCTTTGGTAACTTTTCATTTTTCCTGAGCTGCTCTCAGGATTCGTTCCTTGTCTTTTGTTTCAGACAGTTTGATTATGGTATGTCTTGGTGTGGTTCCTTTTGGGTTCTACCCTGATTGGGATTAGTTTAGCTTCTTGTATGTTTATCTTCTCATCTTTCAGAATGTGTTTGGTATTGTTTTGGGTGTTGATACTGAGTTTCTTTAATGTTTGCTTTCACAAATATAGTTGATTTTAGTCCTGTGTATTCCATCCCATGAGATCAACATGTATATTTGCAATTTATGTTGTTAAGAAAAGGTACTTCCAGTGAATAAGTTATTAGTCTTGTAAAATTCTGTCATGCTATTTTCCAGCATCGTATCTTATCACCAAGGTCATGTTTTCCAACTACTGATTCTTCCTCTGTTTCCAACTTTCTCATCATAACCACCAGTAATTTTCAATGCATCTTGACTGCTTATTTGATCAATTTTAGACTGCAGAAGTTGGTAGAATTTTTCTGAATTCCTTTAGGTCTAGTGGTTGATTATTGTATTTTATAGTGAACCTTGCTCTAATGGTAACTCCTTCATCTTTCTTCTTTTTTAAAGTTGCTTTTTTAAATCTTGTGTTTTCTAGGGCCTTTGCATTTCCATACACATTTTAGAATCAGCATGCCAGAATTGTCTTGGAATTTTGATTGAGACTGTGATAGACTAGTTTGGGGAGAATTTCCATCTTAATAACCTTTATTCTCCTTAAATAGGAGCTCTGATTTTTCTTGTTGTTAAGTGCTTTCTAGTTGGTTCTGACTCATAGCAATCCTATACAGAGTTTCCAGGGAGTGGCTGGTGAATTTGAACCACTGACCTTGTGGTTCAAACCGACCTTGTGGTCCAACTCATTATCCCATAGCGCAACACCAGGACTCCATTTATAATTTTCAGTGTAAAGATTTTGGATGTTTTTGTTGGATATAGTATTTTATGTCCTTTTTTTTAAAAAAATAAAAGCTATTGTGAATGGGAGTTTTAAACTGTCTTTTCACAATTATTTTGTGTTAATATATAAGAATTCAGTTGTCTGTAGGGGCAAGTGTATCTAGAATTGTTTGATATGTAAGCTATAGTATTTTTACTTCAGTAAAAGATGGTGTTATTTAATACAAGCTTTTTAATCTACCTGCTTTTTTTTGTTTGTTTTGTTTTTGTTTTATCGTATTGAATTATAGTTTACATGTAAGAAAAAGTGGAGGTCTAAAGTGTTCATTTGATTTTTTTGTTAATTGTATACACCTATGTTCAAAATTAGGAAAGGTGTGTGACAGGATTGTATTCTTTCACCATATTTATTCAACCTGTATGCTGAGCAAAAAATCTGAGAAGCTGGTTTATATGAAAAAAAAAAAAAAAAGAAAAGACATCAAGATTAGAGGAAGATTCATTAACAACCTGAGATACACAGTTGATACAACCTTGCTTGCTGAAAGTGAAGAGGATTTAAAATACTTACTGATGAGGAAGACCATAGCCTTCAGTATGGATTACATCTCACTGTAAAAAAAAAAAAATCCTCACCACTGGACCAATAAACAATATTTTTATCAATGGAAGAAAGATTGAAGTTGTCAAATACTTCATTTTTCTTGGATCAACCATCAACACTCATGGAAGCAGCTGCTAAGAAATCAAACAACATATTTCATTAGGCATATCTACTGCACAAGACGTTTTTTAAAGTGTTGAAGAACAAAGATGTCAGCTTGAGGATTAAGGTATGCCTGACCCAAGCCATGGTGTTTTCAATAACCTTATATGCATGCAGAAGTTGGACAGTGAATAAGGAAGATCATAGAAGAATGGATGCATTTGAGTTATGGTGTTGGGGAGAATATTGAAAGTGCCATGGACTGCCAAAATAACCAATAGATCTGTTTTGGAAGAAGTGCAGCTAGAGTGCTCCTTGGAGGCCAAGATGGCCAAACTTCATCTCTCATACTTTGGACGTATTATCAGGAGGGACTGTCGGGGACTGGCCTCGACATAGTTGTGTTGTTCACGAGTGTTTGGTTCACAAGGAGGAGATATCTGGCCGCGAAAGGGATAGCAAAAGAATACACAGAAAGACAAAAAGAGGGAGACAAAGAGACACCCAAAACCAAGGTGGGTGCATTACTGGCGTCCAGCAGGTCAGGTGTGGTGAACATATTAGCCAGGAGGGCGGTAAGATCCGGCATGGTATACATCTTAGCTAAGCGGGCAGTACGCACCCCTTACTAGCTGTTCAGTAACACATGCCTAGTCAACCGCACAGCATGTTATCCAGTCTGTACTGCACACTTTCACTGCCTGCCTGTAATGCACACCTGGACTGGCCTGTGTTTCCATTTTTATTTAGGGGAGGAGCTTCACACCTAGCTGGGAGGAACCAAGACAAGGTACAGCTAGCATACGTAATTCTCCAGACATTCAGGCAACTTTACATCATACTTCGCTGGTTCGAATCCCAGGCCTGCAACTTGTTTTCTCAGGTTCAATGAACATATCTATAGCCCCTGAGCTCAGTTGGGGGAAGGTGAAAGGGAAGGACAAAAGGCTTGGGAGGAGTCCTGCTGTTTTGGCTTCCTGAGCCAGGTTTTCAGGAATTTTGGCTGAATAACCTGCACCTGGGACAGGTTTAGGGAGGATGTCCTTTTGTCTGTAGAACAAAGAACCGGGAAGTAGTTAAGCTATTTATAGTTAATCCTTTGGAGAAAGGTTTAACCTTGAAACCTTTACAGTCTCGGCTTTAGGAAAGTATTACATTTATCTGTGGATATTAAGGGCTCATGTTTGGAATTAAATAAAAAACATAACTGAACACTAAGATGTAAAACAATTTGCTATGACTGCCCGGTGGCCAGAATCTGTTCCTCAGAGCCTGTGGCCTGCATTGTCTGCAACACTCAGGCCGGGCCCAGTGGGCCTCGAACTTCTGACCAGCTTTGCACAGTCTGCAACAAGGGACCAGTCACTGGAGAATGATACCATGTTTGGTAAGGTGGAGGGTGAGAGAAAAAGAGGAAGACCCTCCAGTGAGATGGATTGGCAAAGTGACTGCATTAAGGGGCTCAAGCGTGGCAACAATTGAGAGGTTGGCCCAGAACCGGAAATTAGGGCAGTGTTTCATTCTGTTGTGCATAGGATTGCTATTGCTATGAATGAGTCATTACTGAGTCAATGACCCCTAACAACATGTAGCCACCACACGTAACAAGTTCTTCCCATTCTACTTTTCTAGTCAATCTGCTCATTCTAGAGGAGCAATTATTTTCTGATTTCTATCACCATACGTTAGTTTCCTGGCTGTTGGAGTGTTTTCTGCTTAATACTGGTTGGATTTGTTTTTATAATGATTCGGAAATGTTTTTGGTGAAATTACAGACCTTTGTAAGAAGAAACTTTTCCTGATCAGATATTAGTGAATGTTCATCATTATTGGCACTATCTGATAACTCTCTAACTAGGGGCAAACGTATTCTAATGAAATTTAATGTCATATTTTGTTCTTATTTGTAAAAAAAAGTTACATGTTTTTCTTTCAGAGAACTCTGCAATTTTGTTTTACCTTTCCTCGATTTTTAATGTTATTGTTAATTAAATCAATTACTTATTCAAAATACTGATTAAGAGTATTTTTACATGCTACAGACTTTGAAATATTATCTGTAATTCCTAGAATTTAAAATTATGTATAGCGATTGTATTCTTCTTTAGCTGAACATGGTGGTGGTGGTGGTGGTGGTGTGCCATGGAGTTGGTTCCTACTCATAGTGACCCTGTATAGGGGTTCCAAGATGGTAAATCTTTATGGGAGCAGAAAGACTCATTTTTCTCTTGCAGAGCAGCTGATGGATTTGAACTTCTGACCTTGAGATTAGCAGCACAATATATAACCAAAAGAAGCTCCTATTCATTGTACTTTTATGGTAATATTAGCACCTGACATTTGAATTTTCCAAGATACTGAGTATGATCAAATGTTCTTTCATACTTATTGTTAATCTGATTTTCTGTCTTCATTGAGTTAAAAAATTTTACCTCAATTAAATCAAATGTAAAATGCCTGTTTATTTTAAGTGTACAATTCAGGGGCATTAATTACTTGTTCTTTTATTTTTGTTTGAATGATCTTACTACTTGCACATTAAAGAGTCATCTTTTTATTTTACTTTTGTTTCTTATTCTAGTTCATTCGGCCTCAACAGAGCTAACAATGTCCAAGGCAAAAGAAGAGGAAACTGACAATCTGGTTAAATATTTCAGTGTTGTTTGGTGTAAGGCTTCAAAAAAAAAACATAAAAAGTGGGAAGGTGATGCTGTTCTTATTGTAAAAGGCAGATCACTTACTTTAAAGGACTTGGAAGGCAAAGACATTGGAAAAGGTATTGTACTATTGACTGATGTTTATGATTTGACCTGAAATTAGTATGTGCCTGTGGTTATACAATTGGAAAGGTTTTGTAAAACGGACAGATTAAAATATTCTTTAAGTGAATTTCATGCCTAAACTGTGCATGATAAATAAAATTATCTTGCAATATTTAATCAGTATTACAGTTTTATGACTTATACTAACTGAAGCAAATCCCATTCCATGGTTTCAGTTTTTCTAAAAGTAAAATGATTTGCCAGTGATTGATCTGCAGTTACTTGGCTTAAAAAAAAAAAAATTCAGCTGCCTTAGTGTACTTTTTGCCCTTCAAAGTGTTGAGTTATTAAACATTTAAAAGATACTTGTGTCAGTAGTTAGAATGAGATCTAATTTCAGTGACAATTTAAGATATTATTTGTCATAGTGGGATAAAAAACCACTGTGGAGATCATAATTTGGCATGACCTAGATTAATACATCATCATTAAAAGTTGCCATAATTTCCTTTAAAAAATGCTGTCGGCACAACTTGTGCTAATACAATTTTGTCCACAAATTCCTAGTACTAGCCTTCATTATTTATATTGTCTTCTATTGTTCAATTTTAGATGTGGACCATAATTATAATTTATATTTCTAATGTTCACTCATTAATTAAAAAATATCACAATTTATATTGTTTTTGAGTGACTGTTAAGTGCCAAGCACTGTATTAGGAGTTTAGATTCAATGTTGTTCTTGACTCATAGCAACCCTGTATAGGGTTTCTGAGGCTGTAAATCTTCAGGGGAGCACCAGTCCCATGGAGCAATTGGTTGGTTTGAACTGCTGTTGTTAGCACTACCAATGCTCCTATAGATTCAATAGTGAATGTAATTTATAGTTTTGTAGGGACATGGTGTAGCGCTGTGGATTAATGTCCCAGACTGCAAAGCTGTTTGAACAGCAAGGTCGGTGGTTCAAGCTCACTAGCCCTTCCTTGGAAACCCTATACAAGGTCACTATGGGTTGGAACAGACTCGATGGCACTCAACAACAACAACAAGGGACATGGCAATGTAATTAATACTTAGATAGCAGTGAGTTAATTATTTCAATGAGAAGTTTTATAAAGCACAGTGGATACATGTTGTTGTTGTTAAGTGCCGTTGAGTCAGTTCCGACCCATAGTGACCCTGTAGAGGGTTTCCCAGGAGCGACTGGTGAGTTTGAAGCACCAACCTTGTAGTTCAAACCAACTTTGCAGTCTATTGCATTAACCCACAACATCACACCCGGGAGACCCATTTATAGAGGAAGGCTTTATAAATGCTATTTTTTATCAGAGAGTTGAAGGATGAGATTTTGGAGGTTTTAGGAAATGGGCATGTGCTAGACAAAAGGGAATAACACAAGGGCTTGAGAGAATTCAAAGTAGCATATTAAAGGCAGTGATAGCTGAGGCTAACCTGAATTATCTACAGCAGAGTGTTTTATTATACAAACACTTCACAGCTACTTTGTGATCAGTATTGTGCTCAGTTTAGAGGACTTTATAAAGAAAAACTGCATATTTCATGTTGGTGAAAATAGATTGGGGTTAGATTTTTGGAGAATTTGTTCACTTAATGGTATTTCATCTTTAGTGAAATCATGTTCTCAAGTTGGCTAGAATTTATCAAAATTAGCCAGGGATGGCTCTCATCAATGAAGTATATATAATATATGTGGTTTATGTACATACAAAACCAAACTGAACTCATTATTGTCGAGTTGGTTCCGACTCAGCACAACCCTGTAGGATAAAGTGGAACTGTCCCATAAGACTTCCAAGGCTGTCATCCTCACGGAAGCAGACTACTCCATCTGTCACCGGGGAGCAGCGGTGGGGTTTGAATTACCCACCTCTCAGTTAGTAGCCAAGCACTTAACTGCTGTATACCAGCGCTCCTTGTGCACAGAGTTTGTAATATTTAAAATGAGCTCTCAGTTTCAGATAGCAAAAAAGACATTTTAGGCTTAAACCAATGGGTTTTCCTTCTGATTTCCCAGTAAAATCACCTGAAGTGCTATTTAAAACAAATTTCAAAGTCCTCTTGACCACTGAGGTTCAGATTTAATTAGCCGGCGTGAAGGGAGACTATAGTTAGCATCCTGTGGTGTTTTGTGCAGACACTCACCCAACATTTGAGCTCATTTGAAGGTTGGCTGAGGGCTATTATCTCAGGTTCCTGTAGTCTCTTTCTGACCAGTAAGCTTGGTCTTTTTCTGTCTTTCTTTCTTTCTTTCTTTTTTTTTTTAAATAATTTTGTGAAATCTTTCCCTTTTAATTAAAAAGACAGAGCTTGCAATGTCTTAGTCTCTTGACACAACTATATTCTGAGTTTGCTATTTATGTGGAATGGTGTAGTACTGGGTATGGTAGCTTCTCCTTCATGTTTCTAAGTGGAAATATAGACACCACAATATTTGTTTGTTTGTTTGTTCACAAGAAAGAGGAGGACTAATATAGCCTGCTAGATACTTTGTTGGCTTGGTTTTCCACAGCTGAGATGCAAAATCAAAAGAATACAATAGAGTATGTTGTTGTTGTCAGGTGCCATTGAGTTGGAACCAACTCATAGCGACCCCATGCACAGCAGAATGAAACAATGTCCGATACTGGGCCAACCTCACTACCTCTGCCACAGTTGACGCCATCAATGATGCCACCTGGTTGATCAATCTTGTTGGGGGTCTTCCTCTTTTTCTCTGACCCTCCACCTTACCCAGCATGACATCCTTCTCCAGCGACTGTTCTCTCTAGACAGTGTGTCCAAAGTATGAGAGACAAAGCCTAGCCATCTTGGCCTCCAAGGAGCACTCTGGTTGTACTTCTTCCAAAACAGATCTATTGGTTCTTTTGGCAGTCCATGGCACTTTCAGTATTCTCCTCCAACACCACAACTCAAAGGCATCAATTCTTCTACAATCTTCCTTATTCACTGTCCAGCTTTCGCATCCATATGAGGTTATTGAAAATACCGTGGCTTGGGTCAGGCGCACCTTAGTCCTTAAGCTGATGTCTCTGCTCTTCCGTACTTTAAAAAGTTCCTGTGCAGCAGATTTGCCCAATGCAATACGTCGTCTGATCTCTTGACTGCTGCTTCCGCGAGTGTTGATAGTTGATCCAAGAAGAATGAGTGTATGTTCAATTAAAACAAACAAGTCGTGCTTTTTCTTAAGCTTGGCTCAGTTATTTTTATAGCTGTTTTCTTATTTATTCTGATTTTTAAGATTTTTTTTTTTTTTTTTTAGATCAAAATGAAATATTATGTTTCTCTCTGACTGGTGGATTATATAAGGCTATTCAAATTCAAAACCTAGTTATTGTTCCTTATAGTTGACATAATATAAGGAAAGGTAACTGTTGTAATTACGTAATCTTAGAGCTGAGTACTAGTAAATTAACTCTTTTTCCCCCTCTCCATTTAAAGGTATTGGATATAAATTCAAAGATCTTGAAAAGATTGATGATGGTCAAACGCTGATGATTGGTGGAAAAGAAATAGAAGTCATGGGTATAATCTCTCCAGATGACTTCAACAGTGGCCAGTGTTTTCAGTCTGGAGGAGGAAGTCCTGCTATTTCAAGTTCTTTTCAGACTGCCAAGAAGTGTTTCTCTAACCCTTTCAAAAGTGTCTGTAAACCAGATTCAAAGAAAAATACACTGAATGATTTCCAAAATTGCAAACCACGCCATGACCCATATGCACCAAGTAAGAGTTTTAAAAAGAATTAGAATATTCTAAGTTTGCTGTTAAAAGACTTCTGGTATGCAAGTTTGAGGTTTAAATTGTGTTTTAATATGTTCAGTTGAATATATGTAGTCTCCAGATATCTAATTTGACCTAAAGGTGTGGTACAATATAGTTTGGAAGTTGTATATTCATAACCCCAAAAAAATAGTATTCAATACTATTCATGTATTAAAGACATAGATGGGCACATACATATATGATTCTGAATTTAAAACGGAGAAAATTAATGAATTCAAGAATCAGGATTATGTTTACTTACATTAATGTTTATAAAAGTATTTCTACAAAACCAATATAAATGGTTTTTTAAACAGAAATATCAAAATGTGAGGCTATTGCTTCTCAGCACATCTGCATCTAAATCCCGTGTCCCTCAAGATTATTATTCTTTAGGAGTCCCAAAAGACCCCTCTGAGCTGGCCTTTCTGCCTTTCATTGAACTGGCTCTCCGTATCCCCTGGGAAGACACTTTTAAATGCATGTGTTTTTGAAGATCCCCTAATCTAACACAAGTGTATTACTGAGATAACTTGTCTGTAGTTATAACTGATTGCAGAGCCATGTTTAAACACATTTTGTTTAGAATAAACCTTACGCTCATCATATTGGTGGTTTGTTTGAAGACTTTATGAGTTAAAACACGGGTTAGTATGTTAAAGTATTGAATGGTGAGATGCGATGTAAAGAATTCAGATTTTTACTTGTGAACATTAAATATAGTTCATTTGGTTACTTTTTTATTTAATAATTTGTTTGTTGCTGTTCACAGCAGAACATACACCAATTCAACAGTTTCTACCTGTACAGTTCATGACACTGATTATAGTTTTTGAGTTGTACAACTATTCTGAAACTCCTTTTCTGAGTTACTTCTCCTTTATAACTCTCGGCCCACTAAAGTTCCTATGTAATCTTTTCTTTTTAAGTTTTTATTGTGCACTGAGTGATAGTTTACATGGGAGAACATTGGCTTTATATCATTGCATTGTAATGATTACAGTCTCCTCTGTGCATCATTATTCAACATACTTGCTTCCATTCCCCGCTTTTATTGGGGGGGGGGCGTGGAAATGTAAACAGAAACACTCAGGAATATATAGTAATTTAAACAACCAAAGGGCACATTCTACAAGCCTGCCTCCTAGCCGCTGGCTCTCAGTCCTGCTCTTTCCATGAGTGTAGAGTCCTCAGTTGCTCCTTCCTTCCATGTCCTCAACTCTGCCTCCATCTCTGGTGTCACTGCTTCTCTGGATAGGGTTCCACACTCTGCTTGTGCTTTTCTCTCTTGATGGCTAGGGTCCTCTGTTTTTCTGTCACTGCTTCCTCATTTTTGTTACAAAACTTCTACCTTTAAAGTTGTGACCATTGCAGTTAGTCATGATAACAGTTACTCACTATTGAATCATAAGAATCTTATCACTATCTCTTTACCAGACCCATCTAGACAAGATGAAAACTATTCAGTGGAGACTCTACCTTTCCCAATACACTCTTAAACTAAACTCCCTCTTGAAAACTTGTAAGCCAGTCACTTTGTGCCTTTATTGACCCCTCATTTTAGGTAGCCAGTATCTAAGTTGCCTCTCCCTATCTACCCTGTATACAGAGTGGATGGCATTAATACTTGATGTGAAGACTCCTTCCCTCTCTGTTGGCATTTTGAGCTAATACATCCATAAGTATAGGTCAAGATCATCAAATCATAGCAATTTACCCTTGTTTATCAAAAAATTTAAAAAAATCTTCCTCTAGCTGAGTTCTGATCATCAAGCCATCGAGGCTAGGTCAGATGGGTACTATCTGCAAGGTTGGGTGTTCTTTTGTGTCTCCCCTCACTTCTTTTCAGCTGGATGCTTCACTGTCAGCTCTAGCCCTCTGTGACTGTGTCCTTGTCCGTGGGCTCAGATGTTCCCAGGTCTCACCACACTTCGGACCTACTAGCCCTTCCTCTTTTCTCTCTCATCTTCAGTTCAATGGGAATCTATGGAACATGGTTGAACTCAGCCCATTTCTTTATTGCTGCCTTTTCCCCTCCTCCATTGACCAGTAGACGAATGTGCTTAGCAGCAAGCTTATGTGCCTGCTCATGTGTTCCCTTTGAGTTTCAGTCTTGGAGAGGGGGCTTGGCCCTGAAGGGACTTGATTCCTTGTCTTGATGGCTCCCTGGCGAACAACTTGCTTGTTCTTGTAGTAGCTAATCATACTGCCATTTTTTGTTTTGGAGTTTTTCTGATGATCTTTCTTTGAAGATGTAGCGTCTGTTGCTCTAGCTATTCCAGGCTGATATGCTTGTCCCACCTCAGAAGGTTCTGGTGTTCCTGTATAATCTTTTGAGTTACTATCATAAAAGAGTACAATGTTCACGGCAGACATTCTTTACTAGCTAGTTAAGCTAAACGATTTAATTTTAAGAAGAACTTCAGATGATGTTTTTGGTTAAAAGTTTAAGGATTTTTCTTCTTTTTGCCCTCTCTTCTTTCTGCCGTCTCTTCTTTCTTCTCTTCTCTCTTCTCGCTTCTCTTCTGCCTCCTGCTTTCTCTCTCTGGCAGAGGTCACCTCTCTCTTCCTCACCCTGAATAAAAGTCTCTAGATGGGCAAAAAAAAAAAAAAAAGTTTAAGGATTGTCTCAGGGCCATAGTTTCAGGGGTTCATCTTGCATACATGCCTCCAGAAAGTCTACAGTACATGAGAAGTTGAAAATCTGTTCTGTATTTTCATCTTTTGATCAAAGATTCTCCCGTAGAGATGATTAAGTGGTTACACTTACTTTTCATATTAAAAATCCGTTGCCCGTGAGTTGATTCCAAATCACAGAGACTCTATAGGACAGAGTAGAACTGCCCATTATGGTTTCCAAAGTTGTAATCTTTATGGAAGCAGACTGCTTCCGTCCGTGTAGTGGTTGGTTAACTTGAACTGCTGACCTTTTAATTGTTTAATCATTGGGCCACCAGAGCTCTAAATTTTCACATTCTTATTTGTTGTTCTTCTTGCCATTGAGTTGGTTAGACTCATAGTGATCCTGTATAGGATTTCTGCGAAGTACCTAGTGGATTTGAACTGTGATTAGTAGTCTAGTGATTATCCTACAGTGCTACACCAGGATTCTAGTTTTCACATTAATAAATTTAATTTTGAAAATCTCATTATAAAAATTAAACGTAGTCTGTTTTATTAACTATTATGTTTCACTGTTTACCCAAGATGTATTTCTTGCATGTCTTTTTGTTTTGCAATTTTTTTGTGGTAAAGTATATATAACAATAACTTTCTGTTTTGACCATTTTTAAGTGTACGCAATTCAGTGACATTCATTGCATTCACTATGCTATGTTCTGCATCCGTCACCACTATTTAGAAGGAAGTTTCAAAAAGTTATGGAAAAATTCCCTCATCTAATAATATTTTTTCACAGACCTTTTGAAACTCTTTTATATATTCGGAAGCTTTTCTGAACTCAGGATAGAAATGTAGGACCCTTTAAACAACAGCTCTCCATTTTCCCTTCTTCCCAGCTCTTGGGAACCACTAATAAACTTGCATTTCTGTACATTTACCTCTTGAGATCCTTCATATAAGTTGACCCTGGGGTGCCTTTTATGTGCTTTTGTCCAGCATTAAAACTGTCAATACAGAGCTGCTCATTTGGTGTGGATATGGATAAGGAAATTAAAATTAAAGTTTTGTGTAGTTGATGTGGAAGTTGGGAGATAAAATGAAATATATACAGTACCATAATTAGGTGTTATTTCTATGTTGCAAATATTATAGAAACAGCATTTTTAAGACAGAACAGTTTGCATTTGAGGAAACTAAGGCCCAGAAAGATGAATTGACTTGACCAAATTCAAATAATGGCTTAATTAGAACAGAATTCTAATGTTTGAAATGCTAGTTCTATATTATCTTATTCTAGAGACTTAATCGAAGAATAGAGAATAGAAACTTGTACTTTTGAGTTTTCTCTTCTTTTATCCAAATATTTTGTCTGCCCCACCAGCTGTTTTAACAACCTTCCTTATTGACTTTATTTTCTGCCTGAATGAATGAAAAATTTGATTGTGTACATGCTGTTGTTAGGTGCCAACTCACAGTGACTCTACATTCAACAGAATGAAACATTGTTTGATTCTGAACATCTGCATAATTGTTGCTCAAACATATGTTGAGTCACTGTGTCTGTCCATCTTGTCGAGGATCTGTCCCCTTTTCACTGACTCTCTACCAAGCATCATATCCTTCTCTATGGACTAGTCCTTCTTGCTAACATGTCCTAAGTATGTGAAACAAAGTCTCACCATCCTTGCTTTCAAGGAGCATTCTGGCTATACTTCCAGGACAGATTGGTTTATTCTGCTGGCAGTTCATGGTATATTCAATTTTCTTCATCAGCACCATAATTTGAATGTATCAATTCTTCTCTGGTCTTTCTGATTCATTGTCCAGCTTTCCCATGTGCATGAAGCAATTGGAAAAACCATGGCTTGGGTTGGGGCATAAATATATACATGTTTGTATATGTAAGTGTGTGTACATGTTTGTGTATGTGTGTAATCCCAAATCCACTATGATTGAGTTGATCATGACTCATAGTGACCTCGTGTTTTATGTTTATCTCTCTTGAAGATGGATACTTTTTGTTGAATGACTTTTCCCATCATCCTTGGTTAAGCAGTATATTATGTCCTCCACTTGTGTTTTCTCTTCTTCTCTTTTGTTGTTTTTAAATGTTACGAACAAATGGGACCATTTCTTGGTTGGAAATCCAAAAGAAATATACGGATGTAGGGGAAAGATAAAGGATAAATGTTCTATTTTCGCTCCCTAATCTACCCAGAGTCTGGTGTGGTGCTGTGGGTTAATGCACTGGACTGCAAGGTTGCTTTGAACTGCAAGGTCAGTGGTTCAAGGTCACCAACAACTCCTCAGAAACCTTATACAGGGTAGCTATGAGTTAGTACCGACTCACTGTACTTAACAACAACAACAATCTTCTACCTAAGGAGCCGTGATGGTGCAATGGTTAAGTACTATGTTGTTGTTGTTAAGTACCATGGTGTTGGTTCCGACTCATAGTGACCCTGCATAGGGTTTCTGAGGCTGTAAATCTTTACAGGAGCAGAAAGCCTCATCTTTCTCTCATGGAACAGCTGGTAGTTTTGAACTGCTGTCCATGAGGTTAGCAGCCTGATTCGTAACCACTACGCTACTGCTAAGAAAAAGTTTGAATCCACCCAATAGCTCCTCAGGAGAAAGGTCTGGCAATCTGCCTCTGCAAAGATTGATGCCAGAAAACCATGTGACACTTCTGCTGTGTCACGTGGGGTTGCTATGAGTCAAAAATCAACCTGAGGGTACAGTTGCAACGATCTATATATCAAGAATTGACCTCAAAAACATAAGAAAACTTGTTCTCTGGGTAATTGCTAATTGTAAACACGAGCAAACTCATTCCTATGCGTTAGGTAATTCCTCATTGATGGATATTTTATTTAATCCATTGGAGCTCACTTCTTTATATCCTCCCTCCCATCACATCTCCTTGTCCTTTTTTCCTTCTTTTTTATTGTTTATTTTTTTATTTTATTCAGTTTTCAATTATGAAAATAGATCCAAAAAAATAATGTTGATGGGTTTATTATCTGACTTCAGATTTATCAGTTGAGACCTTCTTTGTAATTATATCTGAATTTGCTTTTTGGGGGGGTGATATTTTAAGAAATCTCATAAACTATGATAGCATATTTTTGTAGTCCTGGTGTGACACTGTAGGATAAGCACTGCACTGCTAACTGAACGGTATGTAATTTAAACCCACCAGTTGCTCCTTGGAAACCCTATACAGGGTTGCTGTGAGTCAGAACTTACTTAATGGGAATTAACAACAGCACTTTTTTTTTTTTTAACTTTGTGTTCCAAATTAAGTGAAGGTTTACAGCAGATCATTAGTTTTACATCCAACAAATCACATAGTTTGTTTCATCTCAGAATGTAACCATAGTTATCCCACTTCCTCCCTGTGGTTCCTATTTCCTTTCCACCTCTTTCCCAGCCTCTGTCAGCCATGTCCCTAGGTAAATGTTGTCCCCAGGTAAATGTTGCCCTTTTAATCTTGAATGGTTGATCATTCCATGGTGAACACACCTCACTAGTGTTGTTGTCTCCCTTATATATTTTCATCACTTGGTTGAAAATTGGGCCACTCGGGGGAGTTCTGTTCCAGACCTGACAGGTGCCCAAGGGCAATAGGCTTGGGAAATGATAGTATTATTTCATTGTTAATTTATGCTTATTTGTGGAGGTTCATGAAGTTGACATTCATGAATGCAGTCATTAAGCAAATAATGATGGCTAAATCAATGGGAAATTTGTCATCCTCACTCAGTTCTGATGAATAGAGGTAATGGCCATCGTTATTATTTATAAAGCTAAAAATGAAGCATTTATGTTAATGTGGCACTCCTTTATGAAAGAGTGGGAAGCTATGAGCATTGACAAATGCACTTTGGAAAATTCCAGGCCGTGCTTTCAGTTGGAAGTACTACTCTGTGCCTTGAATACTGAACTATTGAATTTTGTGGCTCACTGAATGCCTTCACTAGATAGTAACTAGTGAATTTTAGTGGTTTTGAAGCACTTTTGAATATATGAGGTTTATAATGGTTTAATTCTTTGCATGAATAAAACAACATTTTCTCTTTTTAATGTTGTACTCTTGCTTAGTGTTACTGTTACTAAATTTCAAATGCTTCCTGGTCACAAATAATAGCAAATAGTTCTATCGTATAAGTAATTAAAGTGAAATAATAGAGTTGCTGACAAAGTGAAATTGTAATACATTTATACATTTACTTTTTTAAAGATTCCCTTGTTATGCCGCGTCCAAACAAGACTCTTCAGTGGATGTTCAATAAGAATTGTTGCCCTGTTGTGGATGTAGTGATAGATCCTCATCTTGTATGTCATCTGCGACCACATCAGAAAGGAGGAATCATATTCCTTTATGAATGTGTGATGGGAATGAGGTAGGAAAATAAAAACTGTTCAGTTGTGAAGTTTACAGTTTTATGTAAAGAATTTGGTATTTGGCCTGAGAGGCATATGAAACCTTGGAATTGCCCCAGTGATTCAGGCGTCTTTGATGAGTGTTCTAGACCACACCTACATAACGGGTCATGCTAATCAGGTAACTCTTGGGTTTGAGCTGGTCAGGCCAGAAAGTCCTACCTTGTGTTATCAGCCCAGCCTTAGTGGGGTTGGGGATCTGGAGGTTGAGTTCAATCAGTCTTCCCTACGTAATGAAGCCCTAGTAAAGCTTCTAGACCTGGACGCTCCATAAGCCTCCTGCTTGGTGAAAGTCACTGGTGGGTGGAGCGGCAGTGTGTCATTTGGATCATTTGTGTTGAGAACTCTTCCAGACCAAACCCTGTGTAGCTTTTCATTTGTATCCTTTTTGCTATAATAAAACGAAGCATGAATATGGCTCATTCCTGAGTTCTGTGAGTCATTCTAGTGAATTCTTGAAGCTGCAGGTCAGGAATGAAGGGGAGCTGTGGACTAACAGGCTGTGGGAGTTGTTACCAGATCAGATGTGGGGGTGTTGTGGGCATCACCAAGACATGGCAGTCTGGAGAACTGTGTCCTTTGGATTTGAGGTCTGACCTAGCTCTGGTTTGGACCAGTTAGAACTGAAGTGGAACAGAACTATATGAATTGATTAGAACTGGAATTTGATTAAGTCCCTAACAGTCTATAATCTGAGTTTTGATTTAACCTGTAGTAGTAGTGGTTTGGAGTCCTGGTGTGGCGCTGTGGGTTAATGCATCAGACTGCAAAGCCATTTGAACTGCAAGGTCGGCAGTTCAAGCTCACCAGCTGCTTCTTGGAAACCCTATATAGGGTCGCTATGGGTCAGAACCGACTTGATGGCACTTCACAACAACAACAACAACAGTAGTAGTTTTCCAGAAAGAGCCTGATATAAATAATGTCATGAATTTTAGTTGGTAGGAAAAGGTAAATGGTATTTATTTGTACATTTATTTTTAAAAGTTAGACAACTTACAGACGCTTGGGTATACAAGAGTCAGGACCATGGTCTTTACTTGGAAGTAGTTTATAAAGTATTTTTGGAAACAGAAAATTCAGTGAACCTTGATGTAGTTCCCTACTACTATGACAGAATTATGGGAGCAAAATGGAAGAAACTTTTAATTTGACTTAGGAAGATTTTGAAAAAGCTTCTCTTCTTATCTCACCTATGTCTCTGACAAAAAAAAAAACCAAAAACAACAACAAAAACAAATCAGGAGTTTTAAATTGAGGTTTTGATTAAAGAATAGTAGTATCCTCATCTAAAGATACTTTTGAAGATACATGCACACACAGACAAAACAGAAAGAAGTAGAAGAAAAATTAAAGGTCCTTGCTAACATATTGGTAAATTTTCTGCTGGTCATTTTTTTCTTTCAGTTTTTTTTTTTTTTTTAAGTTTTTTTTTGTGTGTGTGTGATGTTTACATGGAAGAATATTAGTTTTACATTCATCCTATCATATTTTGTTTCATTGCAATGAATACAATCCCCTTTGTTGTTGTTGTTGTTGTTGTTAGGTTTCATTGAGTTGGTAACGACCCATAGCGACCCTATGTACAACAGAACTAAACATTGCCCAATCCTGGGCCAACCTCACTACTGTTGCCACGCTTGAGTCCATCGATGCTGCCACCTGGCCAGTCCAGTAACTGGTCCCTCCTGACAATATGTCCGAAGTATGAGAGACAAAGTTTGGGCATCATGGCCTCCAAGGAGCACTCTGGCTGCACTTCTTCCAAAACGATCCGTTGGTTCTTTTGGCAGCCCATGGCACTTTCAATATTCTCCTCCAACACCATAACTCAAAAGCATCAATTCTTCTACGGTCTTCCTTATTCACTGTCCAGCTTTCACATCCATATGAGGTTATTGAAAATACCATGGCTTGGGTCAGGTGCACCTTAGTCCTCAAACTGACATCTTTGCTCATCAACACTTTAAAAATGTCTTGTGCAACAGATTTGCCTAATGCAATACATCCTTTGATTTCTTCACTGCTGCTTCCATGAGCATTGATGGTCGATCCAAGAAGAATGAAGTCCTTGACAACTTCAATCTTTTCTCCGTTGATAACAATGTCATGTATTGGTCCAGTGGCGAGGAATTTTGTTTCATTTAGATTGCGATGTAATCCATATAGAAGGCTGTGCTCTTTGGTCTTCATTAGTAAATGTTTTAAGTCCTCTTCACTTTCAGCAGGCAAGGTTGTATCATCTGCATATCACAGGTTGTTAATGAGTCTTCCTCCAATCCTGATGCCATGTTTTTCTTCATATAACCCAGCTTCTCGTATTATTTGCTCAGCATACAAGATGAATAAGTATGATGAAAGAATACAACCATGTTGCACACCTTTTTTAATTTTAAACCATTTTCAATGTTCCCATGTTCTGGTCAAACAACTGCTTCTTAGTCCAGGTACAGATTCCTCATGAGCACAATTTAATGTTCAGGAATACTCATACTTCGCATTGTTGTACAAAGCTTGTCATGATCCACACAATCGAAAACATTTGCGTAGTCAGTAAAGCACAGGTAAACGTCTTTCTGATATTCTCTGCTTTCAGCCAAGATCCATCGGACATCAGCAGTGATATCATTTGTTCCACGGCCTCTTCTGAATCCACTTATGCATCATCAAATAACCAAAGGGTACACCACACAGCCCCTCTCCTTCCCTGAGTCCAGTGTCCCCAGCTGCTCCTTCTGTCCATGTCATCGTCTCTGTCTCCATCCCTGGTGTCTCTGCCTCTCTGGGTAGGGTCCTGCTCTCCGCTCTTCTCACTTGGTGGTCCCTGGGCTGCAAAATCAATCTTTCCCATTCTTTTGGCAAAAAACATCTACCTCTATATTTCCTACCCTCACAGTCAGTCCTGATGGCAATTATTCACTATTGTACCACAAGAGTCTTATCCCCACTTCTTTTCGCCAGCCTGGTCCCAACAGATTGGAAATCATTCAGTGGAGATTCTACCTTTCCCCACCCCGTCTAGAAGTAGGCTCCCTCTTGAAAGCTTGTAAGCCAGTCACTTCTTGCCTTTATAGGCCCCCTGTTTTGGGTAGCCAATGTCTAAGTTGCCCATCCTTGTCAACCCTGTATACTGAGGGGGTTGGAGTGATCCTTGCTGTAAAGATTTGTTTCCTTTTTTGAGCTAGTACATCCCTAAGTACAGGTAAAGTTCATTAAATTGTAGCTGGTTACTCTTTTTTTTTCCCTCTCTTCTTTCTTCTTCTAATCGAGTTTTGATTATCCAGCCATCGAAGCCAGGTCAAATGTGTACTATCTGCAAGTATGGTTTCTTTCAGTTTTGTTTTCTTTTAAATGCATCAGCCCTTGACTTTTAAATTCGGTATCTAATTGGGGACTGGGAATATATTGACTTCCCCTAACTCTAAGAACTGCTTGAATGATGACAGGTTGAAGGGTAACTATCTTTAGCTAGACTCATTTTTCTATCAAATCTGCACTTTCTTTCAGCTAGTAAAATCAGGAATGGTTTGTTCTTTTGGCAGTCCATGGTACTTTGGGAGTCCTGGTATGATGCTGTGGGTTAAAGCACTGAATTTCAAGGTTGGTTTGAACCACAAGCTTGGTGGTTCAAGCTCACCAGCCACTTACTCAGAAACTCTATACAGGGTTTTATTCTACTCCAACACCACAACTCAAATGCATGAATTCTTGTATGGTTTTCCTTATTCTCTGTTCAACTTTCGCATGCATGTGTTGTTGTTGTTATGTGCCGTGGAGTCAGTTCCGACTCACAGCGACCCTGCATAGGATTTCCAAGGCTGTAAATCTTTACAGGAGCAGAAAGCCTCATCTTTCTCCCGCAGAGCAGCTGGTAGTTTCGAACTGCTGACCTTGTGGCTCACAGCCTGATTTGTAATCACTATGCTACCAGAGCTCCTTATTGAAAATACCATGGATTGAGTTAGGCTCATCTTCTCCTCAAACTGACATTTTTGCTCTTGTACAATTAAAAGAAGTCTTGTGCAGTGGATCTGCCTAATGCAATACGTTGTCTGATTTCTTTACTTCTACTTGCATGAGTGTTGATGGTTGATTCAAACAGAATGAAGTCTGTGGCAACTTCAGTCTTTTCTCCATTTACATGGATGTTGTTTATTGGTTCAATGGTGAGGATTTTTGTTTTCTGTACATTGAGGTGCAACCCATACTGAATGAAGGCTGTGGTCTTTGATCTTCATCAAGCTTGTATGTTTTCTATGCACTTTGAGATGGGAAATATAAAATTGCATTTTGGTTATTTCAACTAATAAGGAATATAGGCCATTAATAAACTGTACTTACATTTTTATTTGGTTTTAAGGAGCACTGGTGGTGTAGTACATTACACATCGGGCTGCTAAGCACGAAGAAAACAGATTAAATTCACCAGCCACGCCTCAGGAGAAAGATGAGGCTTTCTGCTCCGATAAAGATTTACAGCTTCATAAACCCTCAGGATCTCTGAGTTGGAATCAACTGGATGCCAAAGAATAGCAACTCGATAGGCTTTAAAATATAAAGTGATATTAAAATACATGAATATTAAAATATATTACTAATAATGCTTAGTTGTTTTTCCTTTTTCTAATAGTGCTTAGTTTTGAATTATATAACTTCATTAGGTCTATATGATAACAGATATTTACTAAATTAGGTGATTTAAATACAATTTTTAGTGTCTAATTTTTGCAGAGCTGTTTTGTTTGAAGACTCCTTTTATTGTCAGAGAGTCATAAATAGAGCTCAGCAGATTTTGTTTAAAGTTATATTTTAATTGTTTCGGTATCTAATATAGAAAATGATTAAAACTCCTCAATTAGAAATAGGAATTAGACTTATAAATTAATTAACCAAATGCAGATATGAAATTTGGATTAATACTTTTTTGTCCTAAATAAATACATATAATGGTAACATAGAGTCCTGGTGTTCTGCTGTGGGTTAATACACTGGACTGCAAGGTCAGTTTGAACTGCAAAGTCAAACCCACCAGCCACTCCTCGGAAACCCTATACAGGGTCGCTGTGGGTCAGAACGGACTCCATGACACTTAACAACAACAACAACAATAAATGTTAACATAATTTAGATTCAACTCTCTAATTTCAGGTTTATGTTTTAGTAATTTAATTGCCACATGTTTGGTAAGGTGGAGGGTCGGAGAAGAAGAGGAAGACCCCCAACAAGATGGATTGGCCAGGTGGCAGCATCAATGGACTCAAGCATGGCAATAGTAATGAGGTTGTCCCAGGATCAGGCTGTGTTTCGTTCTGCTGTGCATAAGGTCTCTATGGGTCGGTACAACTCGGTGGCACCCAACAACAACATATAGTGAATATGGAGTCCTGGTGTGGCGCTGTGGGTTAATGCACTGGATTGCAAAGTCAGTTTGAACCACAAGGTCCGTGGTTCAAGGTCACCAGCCGCTCCTTGGAAATCATATACAGGGTCGCTATGGGTTGGAACCGGCTTGACAGCACGTAGCAACCATATAGTGAATATAATTATCAATGAGGCAAAAGAAAGATGAATTATGAATTAGTTGAGTTGAAAACTAGGAAAATTTTTCACTGTGTGCTAGAATTTTTCATAATTGCAAAATATTAGCTGTGATTCTTGACTAGTAAGGGATGGTTTTAGGAGCATGAGGCATTTTCCTATTGTGGTGAAAGGAAATACACTTATTTCAAACAGAATGAGCGGCAGATCTGGAGCTATTCTTGCTGATGAAATGGGCTTAGGGAAAACACTGCAGTGCATTTCCCTCATCTGGACTCTCCAGTGTCAGGGGCCTTATGGAGGCAAGCCCGTGATAAAGAAGACCCTGATCGTCACACCTGGAAGCTTGGTGAATAATTGGAGGAAGGAATTTCAGAAATGGCTGGGAAGTGAGAGGATCAAGATATTTACTGTCGATCAGGTACAAGGGTTTTAAAAATTTCATCTTACTTGTTTTGTAAATCACAAGTTTTTCAACTTAAGTGGTGCCGTTTTCACTGTCTGTTTTGTAGTTCTGCAGGTGGCAGGTGTATCTAACTTCTTTGCATAAAAATAGATTTTTGGCTTACAATTTGGTTTTGAGCTAACGTAGTATATTTTATAAGTGACTGTCAGGAATATGTGTCTTAAATTTGACTTCACACACTTTCTGCCCATGCTCTGTTCAAGATTATCTCTGTTTTTTTTAGGACCACAAAGTGGAAGAATTTATCAATTCTCCATTATATTCTGTTCTTATCATCAGCTATGAAATGTTGCTTCGCTCTCTGGAGCAAATGAAGAATATAAAATTTGATCTTCTAATCTGTGATGAAGGGCATCGTTTAAAGAACAGTGCCATTAAGACAACTGCAGCCCTCACTAGTCTCTCATGTGAGAAAAGAATCATTCTAACTGGTAAGTATTTACTTTTCAGATGGAATTTATCCCTAACGAATATTTAAGACTGGTAATATGATGGTGTGGCGCTGTGGGTTAATGCATCATACTGCAAAGCCGTTTGAATTGCAAGGTCGTTGGTTCAAGCTCACCAGCTGTTCCTTGGAAACCCTATACAGGGTCACTATGGGTTGGAATCGACTCGACGGCACTTGACAGCAACAACAAATATGACACTTGAGATTAATACAGATTTTTAACTAATTGCTATTATTGTTGTTGTTTAGTGCCATTCATTCGTATCCACCTCGTAGCGACTCTATGTCGGGTTTCTGAGGAGTGACTAGTGGGTTTGACACGCTGACCTTGCAGGTAGCAGTCCAGTGCTTGTCGTGACCCAGAACTAATAGAGCTGTGCTCATTGAGTCTTGGTAGACTTCTGAATCTTCAAATCCCTTAGTTATCTTTAGCAACCCAGCTTTTGAGGAATACCCACAAATAATATGCTAGTTAAGACTTGGGAGCTAAGGCTGGACTGCCTGTGCTAGTTTCTATAAATGTCAGAAAATGGTTGAGGTTGATTTTGATTAATAAAAGTAAGTGATTATTTTAAGATGTTAGATGACTTTCCATTATATCACAAAAAAGAGAAAATCGAGATTTAAAAAAAAATTCTTATTAATGACTGAAAGTTTAAAAGAATATAGTTTTGTGTATTTGTATAAGGAACACTAGTTGCCCTCCTGGTTTCGAATTGAGCTGCGAACCACAAGGTCAGCAATTCGAAACTACCAGCTGTTCCATGGGAGAAAGATGAGACTTTCGGCTCCTGTAAAGATTTACAGCCTCGGAAACCCTGTACCAAGTTGAGTGTTATTGTATGAGTTGGAACCAACTCTGCGAGGCACACTACCACCACCACCAGTTGCCCAGTGGTTAAGCGATTGACTGATTTGATAAGTTTGCAGTTCAAACCCACCAGCCATTCCATGAGAGAAAGATACGGCCTGTAAAGATTATAACCTTACAGACCCCATGGGGCAGTTCTGCTCTGTCCTGTAGGGTCACTAAAAGTCTGAATTAACTTAGTGGCAGTGGGTTTGGTTTTTTTTTTTGGGGGTGGGGGGAGTGTATATTATTTTTAATGCTGTATTATACTGTGCTTAGAAATTAGAGAACAGAAATCCTGTTCCATCCTTAATTAACTGTTAGCATGTACATGGACCAAGAAGCAATTGTTCCAACAGAACATGGGAAGACTGAATGGTTTAAAATTAAGAAAGGTGTACGACAGGGTTGTGTTCTTTCACCGTACTTATTCAACCTGTATGCTGAGCAAATCATCCGAGAAGCTGGGTTGTATAAAAAAAAACGTGGAATCAGGTTTGGAGGAAGACTCATTAACCTGTGATATGCAGATGATACAACCTTGCTTGCTGAAAATGAAGAGAACTTAAAATATGAAGATCAAAGAGCATGGATTACATCTCAATGTAAAGAAAACAAAAATCCTCACCACTGGACCAATAAACAACATTGTTATCAACGGAGAAAAGATTGAAGTTGTCAAGGACTTCATCCTTCACAGAAGCAGCAGTCAAGAAATCAGATGACATATAGCGTTAGGCAAATCTGCTGCACAGGAACTTTTTAAGGTATTGAAGAGCAAAGATGTCAGCTTGAGGACTAAGGTGTGCCTGACTCAAGCCATGGTATTTTCAATAACCTCATATGCATGCAAAAGCTGGGCAGTGAATAAGGAAGACCATAGAAGAATTGATGCTTTTGAGTTATGGTGTTGGAGGAGAATATTGAAAGTGCCATGGGCTGCCAAAAGAACCAATAGATCCGTTTTGGAAGAAGTGCAGCCAGTGTGCTTCTTGTAGGCCAAGATGGCCAAACTTCGTGTCTCATACTTCGGTCATATTGTCAGGAGGGACCAGTCACTGGAGAAGGATATCATGTTTGGTAAGGTGGAGGGTCAGAGAAAACAAGGAAGACCCCTCAAGTAAGATGGATTAGCAAAGTGGCAGCATCAGTGGACTCAAGCGTTGCAACAATTGTGAGGTTGGCCCAGGACTGGGCAGTGTTTCTTTCGTCTGTTGTGCATAGAGTCATTATGAGTCGGTACCACCTTGATGGCACTTAACAGTGACAATAACAACAACGTTTCATTATTCATACACACATAGACATGCACATGCAGAAAACATACATGCATAGTTTAAAACTTTTTATATATACATTGCTAAGTTAAATAATGTCAAGTTGGTTCTGACTCATAGTGACCGGGTTTCTGAGGAGTAGCTGGTGGGTATGAACCACTGACCATGCGGTTAGCAGTCCAGTGCTTATCCTACAGTGCCACACCATGAGTCTTTTATATACAAAAGGCATATTTCTTAATCCATATACATGCATGTACTTATCAAAAACACATTCTATGTAGTTATTTTCCTGATGTTGCACAATGTTGAAAATTATCCGAACTGTTTCCAATTCTTTACTGTTGTGAATAATGTGGTGGTCAATATTCATAAACATACACTTTTTCTGGACTCCTAGTGTGGTGCTGTCGGGTCAGCACTGGACTGCAAACCACAAGGTTGGCGGTTCAAACCCATCAACTGCTCCTTGGAAAACCTATAATAGGGTTGCTATGAGTCGGAACTGACTCACTGGCGCTCAACAACAACATATTTTTTCTGCATAGATTCTCAGAAAAAAAAATGATAGGGTCTAGAAATGTATGTAAAGAGCTTTTTGAATTTCTCTTGGAGGCCACAGAGGAGGACAGAGTAGTAGGTCATTAGTAGTGCTCCATGGCTGGGATTGGGTGGTGGATTTGTGTCTGCTCATAAAGAAGTAAAAGTAAAAAGCTTTTATTATGAGGCTGGGATGGAGATAAGGAAAGGAAAAAAAAAATTACGTGTCTTAAAGTTTCCCCTCTATAGTCTTCAAAATAGTTTCAGTAAACATCAACTTGATTATAAACCTTTTGTGTCTCCTTTTTTCTTGTCACAGGACATTACTGCTCCATTTTAATTAGCATTAAATTGTTTAGCAGCATCTACAAGTTCTAGAATCATAGACGAGAACTGAAAGCAGAGAACTAGAGGACTAAAGCACCTCTAGACAACTCTCCAGATGACATACCAGAATACTGTCTTCTTTCATTGCCTCTCAGCTGCATGCCACTTCTCCTTTTTTTTCTCTTCCAGGCGCTTTTCCCTTATTTTCTGCCCTAATTTCCTTTTTTATCATCTTCTTTTGCTCTGCTTTCTTTTTTCTTTTTCTTTTTTCCTGTTTTTCTGTTGCCTTGTGTGTATCACTTAGAATGATTTCTGATTCAGGTAACCAACTTCAGAATAAAATATGCCTATTCTCTCACAGAATTGGAAGTCTAGAGGTAAAGCATTCTCAGGAACAGTGATGGAGTAGCTCAAAGTATCATCAAAGATTCTGATCCTTTTGTTCCTGACTTTTCCATGCTTGGTGTTGTTTTAATGACTCTGAACGACCCTGTGTCGGGTTTCCACGGAGTGGCTGGTGGGTTTGAACCACTGACCTTGCAGTTAACAGGCCAGTGCGTATCCTATGTTGCCATACCAGACTTCCTTAGGGCTCCTTTAGAGCTCACTAAACGTGCTAAATGGAGTCCTGGTGGGTTAATGCACTGGGCTATAAGGTTGATTTGAACTGCAAAGTCAGTGGTTCAAACTCACCATCTGTTCCTTGGAAACCGTATACAGGATTGCTTTTGAGTCAGAACTGACTTGACAGCACTTAACAACAACAACAAGTGGTTACATGTGCTATAAGGGGGAAAAAAAAAAAGTATTGGTCTAACTGGGGTAGGTATTTTAGCTGTCAGGGAGGTGGTCATTGAACTCTCCCTGTCATTGTAAAACTCATATTAATAAAATAAGTGCATTTTTATTTACTTCTTATGTTATTATACCTTTGTACAGCTTTTTCTAATATGTTACTTGAAATTATACTTTAGGACTGTTGTACATTTTGGACATTATACTAATTATTGAAATACCACTAATGTTTATTTGAAAATTATTTATTAAAAAGTTACTGAATATGTAAGATATGGAAGGTATATAAATCTCTTATAATCCTTTGTTAGTCCTTAGGACAGTGAAAGTTCTAATTTGATAGGATAGCTTTGAAGAGTAGTAGTAGGTATCATTCACAAAGTGTATACTACGAATGAAGCCCTGTGCTGGGCACTTCCCATACATAATGTTGTTGTTATCAAGTGCTGTTGAGTAGTTTCCGACCCATAGGACCCAATATAGGTTTTCTGAGGAGTGACTGGTGAGTTAGAACCGCCACCCTTGTGGTTCAAACCAACCTTGTGGTCAATTGCTTATCCTATAGCACCACATGAGGATTCTACACATACTAATACTTCTGGGAAATTATTATCTTCCCACTTTTATAAATGAAAATTCCTGAGTCTAACTTAAAGAATGTAATTAATTTATCCAAAACCACAGTTATTATTTGCAGAATTGCTGACATTTATTGAGCATTTGTTGTATGCTAGGCACTACTCTGGGAGCACTGTGGTTTCAAAGGATAAGCATTGGACTACAATCCACAAGGTTAGTGGTTTAAGATCACCAGCCACTACATGGAAGAAAGAAAAGGCTTTTTGCTCCTGTAAAAACTTAAAGCCTTAGAAACCCTATACAGAGTTGCTAGGAGTTGGAACTGACTCAATGGCAATTTATATACTCCTTGTTAATGTTAAGTTTCATTGAGTCAGTTCTGACTGTGTAGGGTTTCTAAGGAGTGGCTGGTGGGTTTGAACTGCCACCCTTGGAGTTAGCAGTTAATTGCTTATCCTACAGGGCCACACATTATCACCATTTTACAGGCAATAAAATTGGGTTAGTAACTAGTTCAAGGGTTACTCAGCTAGTAAGCGACAGAGGCATGATTTGAACCTGTGGCACCATAGGATAAGCTCTCAGCCTCAAGGTCGGTTTGAACTGCAAGGTCAGTGGTTCAAAGTCGCCAGATGCTACTTGGAAAGGCCTATACATGATGGCTCTGAGTCAGAACCATTTCGGCGCCACAGAGCAGTTAAACCACAGCACTCAGACTCTAGAGCCTATAGTTCCTGCTCTACTCTATGAAGTGAGACTGTAGCACACAATTAAAATTGGAGTTAAAAATTTATGTTATTACTAATTTCATTTTTCAATTTGATTTGGCTGCTCTTCCTCAATTGTAATAAATTTGCTTCTATATTAAGTCTTCTCAGGGAAAAAAGTACATTTTTTTTATAAAGACTCAAGATTATAAAACACAGACATGACCTTCTTGTCACTTTTATGCCTCTAGGTACTCCAGTGCAAAATGATTTGCAAGAATTTTTTGCCCTAATTGATTTTGTAAATCCAGGCATATTAGGTTCTTTGTCATCCTATAAAAAAGTATATGAAGAACCGATCATTATATCTAGACAACCTACTGCTTCTGAGGTATACTGTATTTTCATTTTAAAAAATGTATTTAATGAAAAATTTGAAGTGATTTTGAAATAATCTGTCTTGTGTCAGTAATTTTAGGCTTAAATTTTTTTTTTTTTTAATGTTTTATTGTGAATTATGTGATAGTTTATATGGGAGAACATTAGTTTTACATTCATCTTATATTAGGCTTAGTTTTAAGATCAATAACTTGTCAAAATTTATTGGCTTCCAATAATTTTCTGTGTTAATTCTTTGATGGTGATTTTAAGCCAATATAGGGTTCATATATATACAAATGTCCTTTTAGAATAAATTAGCTTGTAGATTATTGATTTCTGTTGGCTCTTGATGGATTCAATAACCACAAATAAGGATTAGGAAACGGGCCTCATGTAACTAAATGGTCTGTTGAGCCATTAAAGAGATCATGGTTGTTTATTGTTTATTGTGTTTTAAATAAAAAATGTGAAGGGAGACAAACAAGTAAATGATTTATCATTGTAAAACATTTAGCATTCAGTTGAACAGAAAATATTTTTTGTCTACCACAGTTTAATTTTAAATCTGTTGTTTTTCCTTAGGAAGAAAAGAATTTAGGAGAGAGAAGAGCAGCTGAACTTACTCGGCTCACTGGTCTTTTTATCCTTAGAAGGACCCAGGAAGTCATAAATAAATATCTTCCACCAAAAATAGAGAATGTGGTCTTTTGCCAGCCAGCAGCACTACAGATTGAACTTTATAGAAAGCTGTTGAATTCCAAGGCTGTCAGGTTCTGTCTTCAAGGATTTTTGGAAAACAGTTCTCATTTAATATGTATAGGAGCTCTCAAAAAACTGTGCAACCATCCCTGCCTTTTGTTCAGTTCTATAAAGGTGAGTAGTATGTGCTAACAGTCCAGGGCCGTGAGCTGAGGGGGTCTAGGAGAGAAGATTGCGCTAAGTCCTTTGGTTATATTTGTGGGTTTTCTACAAAGTTTACAGCCACTCCAGTACAGTTCTGCTCTAGAGCTTATTCTGCCTTTTGCTTGTTCTTCAGAGAATGTTCACATCACAGAACTAGGCTAGGGATGAAATGAGTTTGAGGCGCTACCCTCTTTAAAGTCAGTTATTGCCCCGTGTTCCTTGTTCTGTACGCCGCCATGGTTTCCCTTCTTATTTTGTGTGAATACAGTCCATTTGTTTGTTCAGTGCTAACAACTATAACATTTACGATTAAACAAGACTTTTGTTCTCCTCATTATAAAAGTGATACATGATTGTTACATGAAATTCATAAAAATCTCAAAGAAGAAAATGAAAATCTTTTGTAACCTCCAGCCAGAAGAAACACATTTTGTTATTAATAATAATATTGAGTGATATTTATTATGAACTTACCATCTACCAACACCATACTAAGTGCTTTTCTAGTATTATTTATTCTTTGTAAAACTCTTTGGACTAAATACTATTATTGTCATCCCCATTTTTGATGATGATAAATGGGGGCTCAGATATTTACATATATAATCCTATTCTTATGGTTGTTAAGTGCCATTAAGTCTGTTCCAACTCTCAGCGACCCTGTATGGGGTTTCCAAGGAGCAGCTGGTGGGTTTGAATTATTGACCTTGTGGCTCACAGTCCAGTGTTGATCCTACAATGAATGCCACACCAGGAGACCAATCCTGTTTTAAAGAAACGTAATTTAAAACTATGTGTACTATTTTTAAATGCTGGTATTTTTTTCACCACTAAATATAAATATTTTTCTCAGATTACCTTCTACAAGTATGATTTTTAATGGTTATGTAATTGAGTTGACTGTTTGAATATTTAATGACCTAAGGCAATTTAGAGTATAGTAAAAGTTTTATAGTTTGGAATTTGACCTTGGTTTCAATCACCCCTTTGCTACCAAGAGCAAATTTGACCATGGACAAGTTATGTTTGTGAACCATGGTTTTCTTACCACATAATTATAAGTTCCTGATAGTGTTTTTGAGATATCTGATAAGGTAATTTGGAAAGAATTAGTAGAATGCCTGGCCTTAGAAATTGCAGTTAACTATTAGTGCCCTCTATCTCCAACTTATCCTTACCAATTTTTATTCTACTATATTTTTTTAAACAGTAGCATCCTATTTTGCAAATGATAAAGTTTTGGGTGGTACATTATGCTTTAGGTCAAGAATTGTAGACTTACTTAGATAATGGAATATTCTACGAGAATTTTCCACACTTAATCTATGTTGGTTTATATTGACTTACCATGTTGCTGTTAAGTGCCGTAAAGTCAATTCCAACTCATATCAACCCTGTACAGGGTTTGCAAGGAGTGATGTGGGTTTGAACCACTGACCTTGGGATTAGCAGTTCAGGGCTTACCCTACAGTGCCATACCAGGTTTAATAAATTACAATTTATTAAGCAATATTCTAAGAAACAGATTTCATATACAGTGATAAAAATTAAGCATTTTAGACAAAAATGTGTGCTATCAAATCAGTTCATAGTGACTCCGAATAGGATTTCAAAGAGTGGCTGGTGGGTTTGAACTGCCAACCTTGCAGATAGCAGTCCAGTGCTTACCCTACAGCACCATACCAGGGCTCTTAGACAGAAATGTTGTTGCTAAGTGCCATCATGTTGGTTTTGACTCATAGTGACCCCGTATAGGGTTTCAGTTCATTTAACCTTGTGGTTCAGTACTTACCTTACAGTGCAACACCAGGACAAAAATAGCCAAAAGTTCTTCCTTAAAAGCAAAACCTTATGAGGGTTACCTTAGAAAATCCTTGTACTTCCTTGTTAGATGCTGACTAGATGCTTCTGACTCTTAGTGACCCTGTGTACAACAGAATGAAACACTCACAGTCTTGAGCTTTCCTTACAATTGTTACTATATCTGAGTCCCTGTGTATTATCATAAAAAATGGGTTGACCATCAATTGTTTATTTTTGGTACAGGGACTGTGTATTCCTTCCATCTTCTTTTAATGCTTTCTGTATCAGTCAATATTTTGCCCTTGAAGTCCTTCAATAAATATAGCAAGTCAAAACTTGAATTTTTTTATTCATTTCTTTCAGCTTGAGGAATGCTAAGCTTGTTCTTCCCTTTTGGTCTTTACACATTTCAGTATGATAGTTGACTTTGTCTTCTCAAGTTGACCTTTAATATTTTCTGTTCAGCTCTTATACTTCCTTATTTTTTCCAGTTGCTTTAGCTTCTCTACACTCAAGAGTAAGTTTCAGAGTCTCCTTGACATCCATTTTGGTCTTTTCTTTCTTTCTCTTCTCTATAACGACCTTTTTGCTTTCTTCCTGTATGATGTTTTTGATGTCATCCCATAACTCTTCTGGTCTTCTGTCATTAGTGTCTGAGGCATCAAAGGATGAATATAAAATACCTGAAATAAGCTTTCCACTTATATAAGTAATCTTTTAGCAGTGGTTTAGAAATGTGCTCTTATTAAAACTAGGCCATTTCCCAAGTTCTTTTAAACATTTTATTGTGGAATGAGTGAAGGTTTACAGACAAGATCATCAACTTTCTATTCAACAAATCACTTTGTTTCATCTCAATGATTACAATCACTTCAACACAACAGTAGTTATCCCGTTTCCTTCCTCTCTGTGGTTCCTATTTTCATCCATCCATCTTTCCATCCTTTCTCAAATTTGTTCTTAGGAAAATGTTGCCATTTTGCTTTCCAATGATTGACCATTCCATAGTGAAGTTGACTTACTAATGTTGTTGTTCCTGCTACAAACCTGTCTGCTGCTTGGCTGAAAATGGAGCCACGAGGGTGAGTTCCTTTCCAGACTTAAAGGGTAGTTGAGGGCTGTAGTCTTAGTTTCTTCCAGTCTCTTTCTGACCAGTAAATACGGTCTTAATTTTTTTATTTTATTGTTGTTAGTTTTGAAGTTTTTAAAAAATAAATTGGAGATTTGTTGCACATTTTCTCCCACTCTATCCAGGACCCTCTAATGTCATTCCTTTCAAAGCAGTTGGTTGTGGTTTCCAGGCACCTTCTAATTCTTCTGGTCTCAGAGTGCTGGAGACTGAGGTTCCCATGGTCCATTAGTCCACTGAATTAATTGATCCTAAGCCTGTTCAGTTCTTATCACTCTTCTTTCTTCAGCACATGGAGAGACCAATAGCTGCACCTTCTACTGTTGCTCATGAGCTTTCAAGATCCCAGAAACTACTTGCCAAGTAGGATGTAGAACATTGTCTTTGTGGACTGTGTTATACCAATTGACCATGGAGGCCCCTCAGACTCTCTGGAGTTTTTAAGACTACATTTGTCTAGGTTTCAATACATACTGATTCAAAATCTGAGAGCAGGACCTGGGTACAAGGCTTTTGAGAAAGATTTCCAAGTGATTCTGATTCTGTGGTTCAGGTTAACAATTTGTACATTGAGTACTCGTGTCCCTTCTTCTCTGATTTAATATTCACTAGATAACATTCTGTTAATGATTTGGCTTCTCTTGGTATCATGTAGTGGATTCCGCTTTGGGCTGCTAACCACAAAGTCTGTAGTTTGATTCCACCATCCACTCCACAAGAGAATGATGAGATTTTCTGTTCCTATAAAGATATACAGCCTTGGAAACCCTATACAGGCCCATTAAGAGTCAGAACCTATTCCATACCATACCACCACCACCACTACCACCATGGACCTTCTATCATAAGACAGGATACATCGACCAGTTGGCTTAAGTAGGCTGATCTCATTGAAAAGTCAACAAATTTTCATTCTGATTTATTATTCAGTTTCTTAATTTGATTTGGTTAGTTCTAATTATTTCCCAGGAGTTCACACGTTCAAGTTATTTAACATTAAATGTTGTGTATTAGACTCTGGGTGAGTGACGCTTTGGTGATCCTATCAAGGTGGAAGCATTTTAGTACCGGGCAGATCTATTGCAAAGAATGTCTTTAAAGTGTTAAAGAGCAAAGATGTCACGTATAGGACTAAGGTATACCTGACCCAAGCCATGGTAATTCTCTGTTGCTTCATATATGTGTGAAAGCTGGATAATAAATAAGGAAGACCAAACAAGAATTAATGCATTTGAAATTATGTTGTTGGAGAAGAATATTGAGTATGCCATGGACTGGAAGAACCAACAAATTCATCTTGAAAGAAGTATAGCCCGAATGCTCCTTAGACTACTCCCCTCATGTACTTCAGACATGTTATCAGGAGGGGTCAGTATCAAGACAAGGATATTATACTTGATAAAGTAGAAGGTGGTTCGGCACAGTGGCTGTAGCAGTAGGCTCAAACAGAGCAGTGATTGTTAGGATGGATCTGGACTGAATAGTGTGTTTTTTCTGTTGTGCATAGGGTAGCTGTGAGTCATAATGGACTTGATGACACCTGACAAGAACAACAACAACCTGTAGCAGTCAGCAACTGTCTCTTTCCCTCTGTGTTTATCACAGGGATATGAATAGCTTTAGGTGCCACAATTTTCTATCAAATAACATTACTAAAATATTGCTGTAGTTTGTGAATAAGCTAAGTTAAAATTAGTACTGTGTGCTCAGCAATTTATGCCAATGGTGGTTTAAAAGGTCAGGAATTGACTGCCTTTATGGCTAAGCTTCTTCTCTCATACTTTGGACATATTGTCCGGAGGGAACAGTCACTGGAGAAGGATGTCATGCTGGGTAAGTTGGAGGGTCAGAGAAAAAGAGGAAGACCCCCAACGCGATGGATTGGCCAGGTGGCATCATTGATCGACTCAGGTGTGGCAGCGGTGGTGAGGTTGGCCCAGGATCGGACATTGTTTCGTTCTGCTGTGCATGGGGTCGCTATAATTCGGTTCCGACTCAATGGCACCTGACAACAACAACAACAAGGTGTTTGTTTTGTTAGTATTAAAAGTGGAATGAAACAGGCATGAGACTTTTAGGAAAGTATAAAAAATTGTATTGTTTATTGATTAAGTTTAAAACTGAAATGTACTGTGTTTTGTTACTGTTCAGTGCCATCAAGATGTTTCTGATTCATAGCTACCATGAATAGGGTTTCCAAGAAGCAGTTGGTGAGTTTGAACTACCAGTTTTACATTCAAACAGACCTTTGCAGTCCAGTGCTTATCCTACAGTGCCACACCAGGACTGTGTTTAACCTTTGTTAAATGTTAAGACCCAATGCAGTTAAAAAACAAAAAGGCTCTGAGTAATTAGGTGTACTTTGCATTGGGTCCTCAATCATTGATAGAGTTGGGGATAATTGGACAGAAAACTGAGAGTGCATTCCAGCTGTAAGTTGAACAAAGTTTCAAAAGCAGTGATAAATCTGGTAAATTGAGGAGTGAACTAGTCATATGAATTTAACCTAAAAAATGATTTAGTCATTGATAACTGTAATGTCTAGTTATGTGCTCACATGTGAAGTAGGCATATTTTTAAAATTTAATTTTCTTGAGAATATATACAGTTAAAGATACACCAGTTCAAAGTTTCTCCATATACAGTTTCTTGACATTGATTGCATTCTTTGAATTGTGAAAACTCCCCGCCCTCCTTTGCCGAATTATGCTTGCCTCATTAACATAAATGCACTGACCCTTTGAGTTGTTTTTTCATTTTGATTCCATATGTTGTTTTTATGTGCCGTGGAGTCGGTTCCAACTCATAGCGACCCTGTACAGGGTTTCCGAGGCTGTAAATCTTTACTGGAGCAGAAAGCCCCATCTTTCTCCTGCAGAACGACTGATAATTTCGAACTGCTGTCCCGGAGGTTCACAACCTGATTCATAATCACTATGCTACCAGAGCTCCATGTTGATTCCATATAGATAGTTCTTAAAAGAGTATAATGCTCAAGACAGACCTTTTTACTAGTTGAGCTAAACTCTTCTATTTTAAGAAGAAGGTAAGAGATATTTTAGGTTGTAGGTTTATAAAGATGATCTCAGGGTAATAGTTTCAGGGCCTTATCTATCCTCCATGGCTCCAGGCAATCTATGAGAATTTGAAATTTCTGTTCTGCATTTCCCCCCTTTTGATCAGGATACTTCTATGGAATCTTTGATCAAAATATTCAATAATGGTAGCCAGCATCATTTACTTCTTCTGGTCTCAAGGCATAGGAGGCAGTAGTCCATGGGGGCAATTAGCCACTTATTTCACATCCTCCTCCTATTCCTGACTAGCCTTCTTCCTCTGTTGTTCTGTGTGAATAGAGACCAATTATTTGCCTTGAGTGGCCACTTGTAACAAAGCAGGCAGTAGAATAGAAGCACTAAACATGTTACTAGATCAATGAACTGGTATGCACCATGAAATCATAACCCTAAACCAAGAAACCAAAGTCTGTGACCTTTTGGCTTTACATAACAGCTTCAGCAGGCCCTTTTTTTTTCTGTTGTTGTAAATATTTTTATCTTTCACACAGTTTTTGCCAATTTAACCTTTTACAAATGTATAACTTATTGACAACAATTACGATAATCAGCTTTGTAAACCCTGCCCTTAATGAGTGTGACTTTTCCTTCATTGTTAACACCATTTTCCCCTATCCTGTGAGGTAGGCATTTTGGAGAGGGGATTTCAGAGATGCTGGTAATCACACTGAGATGAAATTATTCCTAAACAAATTGGTATAAAGAATAAATATGGCATAAGATTAAATTTATGCACAAACTTATTGGTAGGACTGTTTCTTCTAGATGAAAGTGATGGGACTGAACAGACTATTGTGCTTGTTTTTGATGATCAAGTTAGAAGTACTGTGTCAAGTTCACAAATCAGGAGAGAGAGAAAACCCGTAAGAGAGCGGCGGGGAGGGAACAGAGCAAACGAGAGAAATAGATAGATGAGCAACAGAAAATCTCAGGATTTTGGACAGGACAGATTTTGTATTAGCGTTTGCCCCTATTTCCCTTCTTTTTCTTACTCATAGTTACTTATGAGGGTGAGTAAAAAAATACTGCTACAAGGGTTCTAGTTCATACATACATAACTAACTAAAAAGGGTTTATTCCAAACAAAACATATTTAAATATGTCTGAAATCAGTGGGTGGCTGCAAACGAGTTTTCTGTGGAACACTTGTCAGTCTCATTAGGACGCCTGCAAAAAACGGATATTTTTGTGCCATAAAAGAAAATGATTTTGAGGTCTGGGCTAAGATCAATTTCTACAAATCTCAAGTGGACCTTTTCCCAAATCATTGAAGCTCTTCTGTAAGTTTGTGGGAATGTTGCCCCACATAAAACAACAGTTTTTAGATGGACCAAACAATTTCAGGAAGGTCAAAGATGAGCCAAGAAAGGGACAAACATCACCTTTATAAATGAAGGAAGTGTGGCTGATGTCCAGAAACTGCTGAAAGAAGACTGTTGAAGTACCACTGAAGCAATAGCTACTGAAGTTGAAATCTCACATGGTTCACTATTTTCAGTTTTAAGCAAACATCTTGACCTCAGTAAGCTTTTTAGCTCAGTGAGTGCCTAGAGCATGTGTGAAGATTAGCTCACTCAAAGAGTTGCTCTTTCCATCAGTCTTTTAAGCAAGACTGGGGACAAGTCTTGGATTTACCAATAGGATACAGAGAGCCAGGTTCAGTCAAAACAGTATCTTCTGAAGTTAGGTTTAAGGAGTCTCAAAGGGCTTTCATTGATACATTTTCTTGAAGGACACAGGACGATTATGGGAGCTTATTATGAAGAAGTTTTAAGAAAATAGAAAACTAAGTTGGTGAGGAAAAAACCAGAAAAGTTGTGCTGAGAATTCCCTACCCTCCCATTACAATGTACCTGCTCATTCTTTGAGGGTAGGAAGAGCTGTCCTATAAGAATTTCTTTGGAGACTTTACCCTATCCACCTTCCAGCCCTTACCTTGTCTCTTCAGATGTATTTTTGTTCTCTAAACTCAAACATTAAAGAGGAACATCTCTTAGGGATGCCAAAACAGCTGTTTGACGTGTAAATTGAGGAGTGTAGAATTTTTCATGGAAGAGTTAGAGATAGAACCTCTTCCTTCAGAGGTATATGGACCTAAATGGAGGACTTGTAGAGAAACAGTAGCTTCATGTCTCAGTGTTTTTGTTTAGTAAAGGTTCCTGTGATTTTGTAGCAGTACATTTTGATTTACCCTTATCTGGGCGATGATGTAGGTATTAAGGGAATGCTTTCGGACTGCTCTGTAATTAACTAAAAAGGATACATTGTTGTTGTTGTTGTTGTTGCTAAGTGCCGTCGAGTCGGTTTGAGTCGGTTCGGACCCATAGCAACCCTGTACAGGGTTTCCGAGGCTCCTGTAAAGATTTATATAAAATTTAACCGAGTCTTTTTGGTGGTGGTGGTTATGTGCTATGGAGTCGGTTCTGACTCACAGCAACCCTGTACAGGGTTTCCGAGGCTGTAAATCTTTACAGGAGCAGAAGGCCTCATTTTTCTCCCACGGAACAGCTGGTAGTTTCAAACTACTGACCTTGTGGTTTGCAGCCTGATTCGTAACCACTACACTAACCAGAGATCCTTTTTAGGTAACTATTAATCTTCATTCAAAACCACTGCCCTACCCCCATCACCCCTGCCAATGTTAACAGTTTTTCCTTCCCATGAAAAAAACAAAGATGAACCAGTGTTAAAATTATTTTGAATAGGAAAAAGAATGTAGCTCAACCAGTGGTGAAAGTGAAGAAAAGCATCTATATGAAGGCTTGATAAATCTGTTTCCTGCTGTTTACAACCCTCTCCTGTTTGCTGAGGAGGAGTCGGGAAAACTACAGGTGTTGTTAAAGCTCTTAGCAGTTATCCGTGAACTTCGTCCTTCCGAAAAGTAAGATTCATATAAATAAGCTGCCTCTAAATGCTTGTGGAATTTTAGCTTGGACCATAATCTTAAATTATGCTTTCTCCAAACCCCTCTGCTTCATTTTAAATAGGAAAAAAAAAAGTTATTTATTTTATGCTTTGGGGGCATGCTTAAGCTCCCAGTACTCTGTCTATGCATAATTAACAGTGTGTTTGGAGGTTTTAAGAAAAACTAAATGTGTATGTATGTACTGTCCAAACCTAGTGATGTCTTTTGATGTATGAACACCTAACTTGTTTCTGTTTCCTTTAGTATGTCTTTTTCTTTTACTGTTTCTTAAATGTTGATATTTCTTAGTATTTTCTTGTTAGCCTTCTTCTCACTTTAAATCCTGTATCTGGGAGACCTTTGTTCCCCCTAACTTTACCATCATTCATTCCAACTTTATAGCTCCAGTCTAAAACTTTCTTCTATGTTCCACATCCTTATATATCTGTTTTGATATTAAGTACTATCAAGTCAGTTCTGACTTATAGCGACCCTGTGTAGGGTTTCTAAGGAACAGTTAATGGGTTTGAACTTGCCAGCCTTGTGGTTCAAAGTCCAGTGCTTATCTTATAGCGCCACACCAGGACATTAAATCTCACTGATGTCTTATAGGGCTTCAAGCTTTTCAAAATCCACTTGCTTATTTTGCTATTGCAAGCCTGCACCTTTCTCATTATTCCTGAGTTTGTTAAATGGCACCATAAAACAAGCAAACACTTGAAAGTCATTCTAAACTCATTTCTCCTTCACTTTCCCAACATTTGTTATTGTTAAGTGCTGTTGAGTCAATTCTGAGTCAGACAAACATGGGTTAAGAAACACCATTTTTATTACTAGGTGGTTCATTCTTAACCCATAGCGACCCTGGATAGGGTTCCGGGGAGCAGCTGGTGAGCTTGAACTACCAGCCTTGCAGTTCCAACGGCTTTGCAGTCTGGCGCATTAACCCACAACACCACAACAGGACTCTTTCCTAACATTTAGTCAGTCACTAATTCTGTTGATTTTATTTCTTTTTATTTTTTTTTAAGGGAGACAATGAGGCACCCCAAAGCCAGGGTGGATACATCACTGGTGGGCAGGCTTGGGACTACAGGCATCATGGCCTCTGCAGGCAGCGACTCACTGCCCTGCAATCTTTAATGCATGCCTTCCAACCCGTAACGCACTGCAATCTTTACTCCATGCCTTCCAACCAGTAATGCACCTGATTTTATTTCTTAATATTAGGAATTCATCCCCTATTTTCTGGTAACAAGGAGAAAAATGTCAACTGAATACATGAGATTAGGGCTTGGGATCTGTTTACCAATACTCTTGTAATAGCTGCAGTCTAAATGTCTCCTTTCTGAGGTACCTGCTACCTCTGATACCTGGCTCTTAACCAGATTCTGTGGGGTGAATTAACTTGCACTGCTTCTTATTGGTATCTCCATCTTTGGGCACTTAGGGTTCACTGCTGTACTCCTAGGCACATCACCCTGCCTCTGTTTTCGTATTTGTTCAGGTTCATAGATGTCTCCTTGTTTTAACAAGCAATAGAGTCCATTTCTGTTTTTCTTTGCTTGATATTTTTAGGGTTATTGGCACTATGGGTTAGGTGTTGTACTGCTAAATATAAATGTGGTAGTTCAGACCCACCAACTTCTTTGAGGATTGCTATGAACTGGGATCAACTTGATGGCAGTGGGTTAGGTTTTGGCTTTGGTTGGAGAGTAGAAAGCACAAAGGCCTTTATTACTATCTTAAAATTGGATGTCTCTTAGATAGGGACTTTAAAATTGCATTTTAAAGAGAACCTATGTTTTAATTGCTCAGGGTCATTTTTGCATATTCTTTAAATATTAGCTATTAATATTATTGTGATCTTTTGTTTCAAATTAAGCATTTAATATCATCTATATTATATATAAAATCTTTCTTTTTGATTGACAGAGTGGTTTTGGTGTCTAACTACACACAAACTTTGAACTTATTACAAGAAGTATGCACGCGTCATGGATATAGTTATACAAGGCTTGATGGACAAACCCCAGTCTCTCAAAGACAGCAGATTGTTGATGGCTTCAATAGTAAATACTCTGTCGATTTCATTTTTTTGTTAAGTTCAAAGGCTGGTGGTGTGGGACTTAATCTTATTGGAGGATCTCACTTAATTCTCTATGACATTGATTGGAATCCAGCCATTGATATCCAGGTAGGATTGTTTATGCATGAAACAAACATTTTGAATGCATTCTGGGATGACGTAATAATAACTGCTGCACATTGAACACTTGCTGTATATCAGTGCTAAGTGCTTTCATTTATTTAATCTACAGAACTGTACAAGGGCAAATATTAGCATTTACAGATGAAGATGGAACTTTGCTCTAGATATACAGCTTTTTAAGAGGCAGAGGCAGGATTTAAACCTAAACCTGTAGGCCTCCAGGGTTTGGCATTCAGAGTCTTCAGGGCTAACAAGAGAAGACTATACATTGTTATTGATGCATCTGTCAGTGCTTGCACAGCGTGGGCTGAGGGTGTAATTCAGGCAAATATTTCAGAAGAAACTTGCGATTTTCTTCAGTGTGCAAATGTGGTGGTTCCGTAGGATAAGCCCTGATTTGTGAACCACAAAGTTGGCGGTTTGAGCCCACCATCCCACTCTGCAGGAGAAGGATGAATTTTCTGCTATTGCCAGAGGTTTAAAGCCTTGGAAACCCTGTACAGGGTTGCTGTGAGTCGGAACCGATTCCATGGTTCTTGGCAACAACCACCACCTACAGATTTGCATCTCAGTTGATGCCTGAATTGTTAGTCTCCAGGATCACCACACTCAGCTTCAGTGAGTTACTAGGAGTCACAGAATTAAGACAAGCTATTATATTTGTTTTTGTTGTTAAGTGCCGTTGAGTTGGTTCTGACTCATAGCGACCCTGTGTAAGGTTTCCAAGGAGCGGCTGGTGAGCTTGTCCAGTGCATTTACCCACAGCGTCACACCAAGACCCCTGGGTACAGTTTTTCACAGTGAAAGGATACAGCAGAGGTGAAAGGCTCATAGGGCAGAGTCCAGGAGAGACCAGACACAGTTGTCTTCTCCTAGTAGAGTGGTACAGACAACCCTTGATTCTCCCAGCAATGATGTATGACAACACATAGGAAAGCTCACTTAAACTGACGCAAGGCCTCCACCAGAAATCACATTATTACTGTGAACTATCTTGAGGCCCAAGACCTAAGGTAATGATGTTGTAATCAGGCAGGATACTCCAAGGCCTTAGAGGCTGTCCTCCATTAATTATCACAGGCTAGATCTTCCTTAGGAATGTGCAGCATTTGAATAACCCAGGCCTTCTGAATCAATCCTTTACTGCATTTGTCGGTAATATGTTCTTAAACCACAAGGAATCTACCTGAGCTCGAGCTGATTGCAGACATCTGAGCAACTCAGATAATAATAGGGTTTAGTTCAGTAGCTATATGGACTGGGAATAAGCTCTCTATGCTGTCCTTGGTTCTTTTGGTTTCTATTGTCCAACATCACTATCTCATTCTTTGATGTAGATTGGACCCTCTCACTGTTAGGTGGCATGAGTATTTAACCCAGTGGCATCACTTGGGGGCTTCAAGAAGTCTGGACCACATTGGATGACACTGCCATAGTGGGTGACACCAAAAGGACTGTGTAGAAAATTTTTGTGTGGTGTTTTGGCAGAAATTTGTTATTGTTAATAAATATATTCCTGTAGTTGATTATAATAATGAAAAATTGTTTGTTAAAGCCCAGTTTACATGTCCTAATATCCCCCGGTGTGGCGCTGTAGGATTAGTGCAGGACCACAAGGTCGATTTGAACCACAAGGTTGGCAGTTCCAACTCACCAGTTGCTCCATAGAGACCCTATACAGTGTCACTATGAATCAGAATTGACTTGACGACCCTTAATAGCAACAACAACAACAACATACCTATAAGACTAAAACTCTACAAGACTAAAAAGCTAATTTGCTTTTTTTTTTTTTTAAAGTTTTTACTGTGAATTATGTGGGTTTGTTTACATGGGAGAACATCAGTTTTACATTTATCCTATCATATTTCATTTCATTGCAATGATTATAATCCCCTCTATGCATCATCAAATAACCAAAGGGTACATCCCACAGGCCTTCCCCTCGGCTGTCAGCACACAGCCCCTCTCCCTCCCTGAGTCCATTGTCCCCAGCCGCTCCATCTGTCCACATCCTCGTCTCTGTCTCTATCCCTGGTGTCACTGCCTCTCTGGGTAGGGTCCTGCTCTCCGTTCTCCACTCTTCTCGCTTGATAGTCCCTGGGACCTCCGCTCCTGGGTTACAAAATCAATCACTCCCCTTCTTTTGTCAAAAAACATCTACCTCTACATTTCCAACCCTCACAGTCAGTCCTGATGGCAATTATTCACTCTTGTACCACAAGAGTCTTATCCACATTTCCTTTCACCAGCCCTGCCCCAACAGATTGGAAATCATTCAGAGAAGATTCTAACTACCTCTGCCCCGTCTGGAACTAGGCTCCCTCTTGAAAACTTGTAAGCCATTCACTTCTTGCCTTTATAGCCCCCACATTTTGGGTAGCCAATGTCTAAGTTGCCCATCCCTGTCAACCCTGTATATTGAGGGGGTGGGAGTGATCCTTGCTGTAAAGATTTGTTCCCTTGTTTGAGCTACTACATCCATAAGTGTAGGTAAAGTTTATCAAATTGTAGCGGGTTACTCTTATTCTTTTTTTCCCTCTTCTTTCTTCTTCTAGTTGAGTTCTGATCATCCAGCCATCGAAACCAGGAAGTGGGTACTATCTGGAAGTGTGGGTGCTCTTTAAGCTAATTTGCTTTTGAACCTTTATGTGCTCTGGTCAGAGCTGTCATTACTACCCAATAGCAACAGCAATGAGGTTTCAAATCACGAAGTTTTGTCTGCATGCACTGTTGTTCTTGTTGTTGCTGGTGTGGGTATTTAAACAACTTTTTATTGTGAATTGGATGAATGATTATAGACAAGAATAACAGCTGTACATTCAACAAATTATTCACTTCAGTTCATCTCAATGATTACAATCCCCTCCCTGCAACAACATTTATCCTACTTCCTCCCTGTGGCTCCCCATTTACATCTTACATTTTACAAATGAACAAAGCAAAAAATTTGATGTACACTTATGAAACAAAAAAAATATGTTCATTTAAATGTCCAAAGGGCCCATTCTGCCAGCCAGCCTCCTGTCCACAGACATGCAACCTTACTCAGCCCATGGGTCTAGAGCCCACAGCTACTCTGTCTCTCCCTGCCACTGCCTCTGCCACCATCTCTGCTGTCACCGCTTTTCTAGGTGGGGATCTTATGCTCCACTTATACTCTTTCCTTTTGATGGTCCTGGGATCGTCTGTTCCTGAAATGGAAGATTAGCTATCCACAATTATATTTGTGACAATCAAAATTAATCTGCTAACAATTACTATAGAGTCTTAAAATCCTATCACACACCCTTCCCCCCCTTCACCAGATCCATCTGGAAAAGAGGAAAAATATTCAGTGGGGATTCTACCTTACCCTCATTCTGAAAGCGTGTAAGCCAGACATTTTATGCCTTTATAGCACTCCATTTTTGATAGCCAGTTGCTCATCCCTGTCAATCTGGTGATGCTGTGGATTAATGCATTGGACTGCAAAGTCCACACGGTCAGCAGTTCAAGCTCACCAACTGCTCTTTAGAAACCCTATACAGGTTCATGATGGGTGTGAACTGACTCGACGGCACTTAACAACAACAACATCAACCGAGTACACTGAGCTTGGCCCTTGATATGAAGAATCCTTCCATTCTGGTTGGAATTTTGAGTTAACTGCATTCATAAGCAAAAGTCTAGTTCATCTTCATCAAATTGTAATGATTTGTGCTTGTTCACAATACTAGCCACCTCTGTCTTCCACGGTTGAGTTCTGATCAACTAGCCATCCAAATTAAGTTAAATGGGTACTAGCTGCACATTTGGGAGTTCACTCACACCTCTCTACATTTCAGACCAGTTGGCTACTTCACTCTCAGCGGTAGCCCCCAGGGACTAGGTCAGTGCCTATGGGCTCAGGAGGTCACATATCTTCGTAAACTTCAGACCAGCCAGGCCTTCCTTTTCTTTATCTTATCTCAAGGTCAATGGGTGTCAGTGGAACATGGCCAAACTCAGCCCACATTTTCATTTCTGCATTTACCCCACTTCCACTCACATGTAGACCAGGGTGGTCACCAGCGAACATACTAGACTACTCATAGGTTCCCTTTAAGTTTTAGACGTAAAGGGGGTTTTCCCTGATGGGCTGACTTTTCTTGCCTTGATGCCTCCAAAGCAAACAGCTTGCTTGAAATTTAAACAGCCAAATAGTTTGCTTTTTTTTTTTTTTCCTTCTGCAGGTCTTTCTTTTAATAAGACTCTTCTGTTCTCCCAGCAGTTCTGGGTTGGTCTGCATGTCTTTTCAAGAGGGAATGTCCCAACTCAGAAGGTTCTGGATGGGGCTCAGGCCCCATCCTCTACAAAGGTTTAACAATACGCCTGTTTCCTGGGCAAATTATAACTCACCTTTAAAGAAATCAAATTAAGGCGGGCTTACAAGCTTTCTGTCATAATATATTTCCCAATATTCATTTCCATCACACATGAATGTGTATTTACAGTAATAGGCAGGGGAAACCAATATCCACAAGACAGTCAAACATATAAACAGTTTTTTCCCCTCTTTTACCCATTTAGCCTATTTCTTGATGTTGCTGGTATTTTTACAGTAGCTGACTTTGTTAAATTATCTGATGTTTTAGCAACAATATTGTAATTATGAACCTATTTATATCAGTAACTTTTGAGAATGAAGTAGTAATTAAAAGAAAAGTAGTTGGACTGCTAACCTCAAGGTCAGCTATTCGAAACTACCACCGGTTTTGTGGGAGAAAGATGAGGTTTTCTGCTCCCATAAAGATTTACAACCTCGGAAATCCTATGTAGGGTCACTATGAGTCAGAACCGACTCCACGGCACTTAACCGTCACCACCACTCAGTTACTAATAATGTTGTAATTCAATGTAGAAAGATTTTACACAACAATTTTGTTCTCCCTGGCTCGATTTTCAGCCAGACAATCAAATGGCCTATAAGGTGAGCAATAATAAAACCCTGTAGGTATACACTTTTTAGAACATCAATTCTATAAGATCAAAAGGATAGCATGTGCTCAGAAATAAAGTTTAGAAGGCAGGAAGGGAGAGTAAAGAAAGGTGAATGGAAATGGTAAACACAGGAAAGTGGGAAGAGCGCTGCATGGAGATTGCAGTCAGTGTCATGAAACAAAGTGCTTGTGAATTGTTCAGTGGAAAACCAATTTGCTCTGCAGACTTTAACCCAAATCATAATAAAATGTTAAATAAAACAAAACGAAATAACAAATGTGCTGTCCCTATTCATACAATCTAAGAAATACCACACTAAACAATTTACAACAATATCACACATTATTCTGTGATTATTGAAACTGATAATAAACTTGACTGAGGATTCTTTGTGGTCCTGGTGGTGTCACTGGTTCAGCCATGTCTTTCTGTTATCCCAGGTGGAACAGTATGACTTGGGGAATGCTTGGGTATGCGTGGGCTTTGTTTTTTGAAGCTGTACATAAAATCTAGACTTCTAATCTTAAACATAATGCCTATAAATTGCTTCTTTGGAAAGAGCCATTATTGTCTGTTGTACTCTCAGAATTCTCATTTCTTTTCTATAGGCAATGTCTAGAGTGTGGAGAGATGGTCAGAAACATCCTGTACATATTTACAGACTTTTAACCACAGGTAATGTTGCTTCAATGTGCCAAAAAATTGTTTATTTTTTGAACTGGTGGTGGTGGCAAGCTGCTGAGTCAGTTCTGATTCATAGATACCCTGTATAGGGTTTCTAAGGCTGTAAATCTTTATGGGAGCAGAAAGCGTCATCATTCTCCCATGGCACAGCTGGTAGTTTTGAACTGCTGACCTTGAGGTTAACAGGCTGCCTTGTAACCACTACTCTACCAGAGCTGCTTTGAACTAAAAAAAATTTTTTTTCTTTTCACGGATAATCTGTTCTTCAGTGTCAGCTATAACAACAGTTATTCCATTAATTTACCTTTCCTGTTCCCATTGAGGTGATTCTGACTTATGGTGACCCCATGGGTTACAGAGTAGAGCTGCTCTCTTTTCTTGGCTGTAATCTTGTTGGAAGCAGGCCTTTGTTTGTATCATGGTGCTGCTGCTGAGGGGTTTGCTTGCTAACCATTTGCACCACCTAGGGACCTTCCCACTAACTAATATACTAATAACATGTCTTATTTTACAAAAATAATAGGAAGATCTAAAGCAAGTCTGATAAATGCTTTCTCTTCAGGTACAATAGAAGAAAAGATCTACCAGAGACAAATCAGCAAGCAAGGTCTTTCTGGGGCAGTTATGGACCTGACCAAGACATCTGAACATATTCAGTTTTCAGTAGAGGAACTTAAGAATCTGTTCACGTTGCATGAAAGTGCCCATTGTGTTACTCATGACCTGCTTGATTGTGACTGTGCAAGAGGAAAGGACCGCGCAGGTCAGTTATGTTCCAGCTTTGTTACTAGGGCAGATTCAGTGTGTTGACCCTTAGTAGTTGGAAATCATTATGTTCAAACAAATATGAAAACTATGCATCTTTTGCATATGTTAGACTTCTTTTCCTTAGTTCACAGGACAGCTGTCAGGTGGATATCTGCAAAATGTGAATTAGAACCTTCATGTTGTTGTTAAGCTCCATTGAATTTGTTCTGACCCACAGTGACCCCTTATATGTTTTCTAAGGAGCGGCTGGTAAGCTTGAACCACTGACCTTGTGCTTTAAACCGACTTTCCATTTCAGTGCATTCGCCCACAGCGCCACATCACTCACATAGGAATTGGATCAGGAGTAGGGCTTGGGCAAGCAATGTTTATTTGTGCAAAGTCACTTGATAAATTGTACTGAGATAGGTTATTAAGGTAGACTGTGAAATAATTTAGTCTGGTTGCCTTCATACATCTGTTGTGTATTTATCCCAGTTTGCGTGGACAGTCATTCATTCTCCAGTAGAGGAAACACATGTAAACAGATAAATGCAATAAAATTTTAGTTGCTCTTGTACATAATAGAAGCTAAAGTGGCTGGAAGAACTAAAGAAGTAAAAGAAACTACAGAAAATTTCAAAGGACGGTTCTAGAAGGCAAAGTCAAGTATGATGAAATGTGTAAAGACCTGGAGTTAGAAAACGAAAAAGAAGAACACGTTGAGCATTTCTCAAGCTGAAAGAACAGCAGAAAAAAATTCAAGCCTTGACTTGCAGTATTGAAGGATTCTATGGACAAAATATTGAATGATGCAGGAAGCATAAAAATGATGGAAGTTATATACAGAGTCAACCTACCAAAAAGAAATAGCTGGTGGTCAACTATTTCAAGATGCAGCCTGTGATCAAGAACTGATGGTATTGAAGGCCAAGGTCCAATCTATACTGAGCTGAGCTCATTGGCGAAAAACAAAGCTCCAGGAATTGATGCAGTACTAACTGAAATCTCTCAGCAAACAGATGCACCACTGAGGCTCTGACTTGTCTGTGTCAAGAAAATTAGAAGACCTCGCCAACCTATTAAGAGAGATCCATATTTGTGCCCATTTAAATGAAAGGTGGAAATCATCAAACAATAACATTAATATCACACACAAGTAAAATTTTGCTGAAGACAGTTCATCAGCAAGGAGCTGCCAGAAATTCAAGCTAGATTCAGAAGAGAATGTGAAATGAGGAATATCATTGCTGAGGTCAGCTGAATCTTGGCTCAAAGCAGAGAATACCAGAAAGATGTCTACTTGTGCTTCATTGACTATGCAAAGGCATTTGACTGTGTAGATCATAGCCAATTATACATAATATTGAGAAGAATGGGAACTCCAGAACACTTAATTGTGCTCATGAGGAGCCTGAACCTAGACCAAGATGCAGTTATTAGAACAGAACAAGGAGATACTGAATGGTTTAAAATCAGGAAAGATGTGTATCAGAGTTGTGTCCTTTGACCAGACTTAATGCTGAACAAATAATCCAAAAAGCTGGATTGTACAAAGAAGAATGTGGCATCAGGATTGGAGGAAGATTCATTAACAGCCTTTGATATTCAGATGACACAACCTTGCCTGCTACAAGGTGAAAAGGACTTGAAATACATACTGATGAAGCTCAAAGATTATAGCCTTCACTGTGTTCTGCACTTCAATGTAAAGAAAATGAAAGGTAGAAGTTTTGTAACAAAAACAGGGGAGTAGTTAATCTTATAGTCCAGAAATAGAGGCCCCTAGGACCATCAAGGGAGAAGAGTACAAGCAGAATGTGGGACCTCATCTAAAGAAGCAGTGATAACAGAGATGGGGACATGGAGAGAGGGAGCAGCTGAGGACTCTAGATTCATGAGAAGAGAGGGACTAAGAGCTGGTGACCAGGAGGCTGACTTGTAGAATGTGCTCTTTGGTGGTGTAAATTATTATATATGCCTGAGTGTTTAAAAAAAAAGGTTAAAGTGAATAGAGAGAAATGCTGTTATCTGATGGTACATGGAGGAGATTATAATCAATGCAATGAAACAAAGTATATGATTTGTTGAATGTAAAACTGGTGATCTGTCCTCTAAGCTTTCACTCAATTCACAATAAAAATGTAAAAACAACAACAACAAAAAAAACAACAAAAAACGAAAATCATCAGAACCAAACCAATAAATGACATCATGATAAACGAAGACAAGATTGAGGTTGTCAAAGACTTCATTTTGTTTGGACCCACAGTCAACAGTCACAGAAGCAACAGTCAATAAATGAAAAGATGTATTGCATTTGGCACATCTGCTGTAAAAGACCTCTTTAAAGCACTTGCTATGCAGGCTATAATTGCATTCAGCATCTCCACCAGTTCCGTTTAGTGGCTCTCTTATGTATGTACTTTCCTGGGTATGCTTTACCTCCCTTGCCCTTCAGATCTTAATAGAACATTGCTTCCTTAGGGCATTCCTCCACTTACCCTCCAGATCAGATCAGCTTCTATTGTTATGTATGCTCACGGTGGTGGTGGTGGTGCCCTGCTTAGGGTTTCCAAGACTGTAAATCTTTACGGGAGCAGAAAACTTCAGCTTTCTCCCACAGAACGGCTGGTAGTTTTGAACTGCAGACCTCAAGATTAGCTGTCCAACTAATAACCACTATGCTGCAGTGCTCCTATGTATGCTCATGTTGTTATTGTTAAGTCCCATCGAGTCGGTTCTGACCTATAGTGACCCTGTACAGGGTTTCCAAGGAGTGGCTGGTGAACTTGAACTGCCGACCTTGCAGTCCAGGCATTAACCCAGAGTGCCCCACCAGGACTCCATGTGTACTCACAGTCCCCACTATTTTTGGTTACGTTCTCATCTCTGTTTCTGCTTCAGCTCCACAGTGCCCTATTTTCAGTTCTAAAATCCAGAAAACTTTAATGATCCAAAGACTGTAATTTTTAAATAAATTTACAATGTACACACCTGGTATAGAAAACTTAACCGAAGTTGATACTAATTTATCATTAGTCTTTTTTTTTTTTTTTTTTTAATGCACTCACACTATTCTTATCACTTTTCGCAGGAAATTAGTCAGTTTGATTAGTTTGATTATGGACTGCTGCCCTAAGCTCTATCAAGTATTCAGAATTTGGAAATATATCTTGCCTCAAAGATTTAGATTAAAGGGTTGTAGACATGTAATGCATTTCTATAGATGATTAATGCACTTACTATATGTCTATTGCTGGACTATGAGGTCCTTTCAGTTCTAAGACCATGTTCTATTTTTAATTACCATTTTTACTTTCAGTGTTTAAATCATGAAGTAAACCATTTGTAAATGTGGAATGAATTCATTGTGGAATGAATAAGTTGATTGTACTTCTTTTAACTTAAGCTATGGGACTCAAATGTAATAATTATATAAGATCATTAAATATTATAAAATAATAAAAATGTTATATATAGTGGCTAGTGGGTTGGCCTAAGATTTTTATTTCTCTTTGTTTTATTTATTTCAGATGATTCTATGGAAAAAGACCTTATATCTAGAGATTGTCAGCTTGGTCCATATCACCAGAAATATAGCTCCATGAAACCTCTCTCTATGTCACAACTGAAGCAATGGAAACATTTTCCTGCAGATCATTTAAACCTTCCAGATCCTTTTCTTGAAAGGATAAGAGAAAATGTATCATTCTTTTTCCAGAATGTAACTAATCAAGCTACTGCTGTATCATGAAAGATTACTTCAGGACATTCCTGTGGGAATCAACCCAGGGAAATCCAATAATATAGAAATATGAATTGAGGAATTAAATGTGATTTTGGAAGGTTAATAGAAATATTTATATTAGAATGTTTTGTTGCAAAATGTATCATAGTTTTGATATAATAGCCAAAATTGAGAGTTGTTCAGTTTTCTGTGTAATTTTCCAATCATGAAATGAAACATTAAAGGAGAGTGCTTCTATTCCCATACAGTTGTTAATTATTATTATTTCCACGACTAACAAGCTTCTGTTAAGTTCCTACTAAGGAATTTTTATAGAGTTCATGGTTGGTGGTTCGAGTCTACTCAGGTGCCTCGGAAGAAAGCCTTGGTCTCAGCCATTAAAAATGCTATGGAATGCAGTTCTCCTCTGAAATGTGTGGGGTTGCCATGAGTTGGAATTGAACTGATGGCAACTTTTTTTTAAACCAATCAGGCATATATAATAATTTACATCTCCAAAGGGCATATTCTGCAAGTCTGCTCCTGGCCACCAGCTCTTAGTCCCTCTCTTCTCAGTCCATGAATCTATAGTCCTCAGCCACTCCCCCTCTCTATGCCCCCATCTCTGCCTCTATCTCTGGCGCTGCTGCTTCTCTGGATAAGGTCCTGCATTCTGCTTGTGCATTCCTCTCTTGATGGTCCTAGGGTCCTCTGTTTCTGGACACTCCACTTTTTTTGTTACAAAACTTGTACCTTTACAATTGTGACAGTCACTATTAGTCATATAACAATTATTCACTATTGAATCTTACCAGTCTTATCCCCATCTCTTTTCAATCAGACCCATCTAGACAAGATGACAGCTATTCAGTGGGGACACTTTCTTTCCCCCTATTCTCTTAAACTAAGCTCCCTCTTGAAACCTTGTAAGGCAGTCACTTCGTGCCTTTATTAACCCCTCATTTTTAGCCAATGTCAAGTTGCCC